TTGAAAATAAAGTCTAATTTTTTGATTCACAAGCTCCAGTTTCTTAAGAGATATTTTTGAGTTGACTACTTTTGAGTCAAATATTTCTACCACAGTTGCTGTCTTCTTCTTAGGACAGCAGATCAGTCCACAGGGAGTGATGATGGAGGAGAGGAAGGTCGATGAGGTCAGGTCATGGCCAGTCCCAACCACCATAAAGGGGCTACAACATTATTTTGGCGTTTGCCAACTTCTACCGCCGCTTCTTTAGGAACTTCAGTCCATCGCCTCTCCTCTCACCTCTCTCCTCAAGGGCGGTCCCCGTAAGTTGGTGTGGAGTCCTGCAGCCGATGAGGCCTTCCGCCTACTGAAGGGGCATTTCACCTCTGCCCGTTGCTGAATCACCCAGATCCTATGCTGCCCTTCGTGGTGGAGGTGGAAACATCAGAAATGGGTGTGGGGGCTGTCCTGTCCCCAAGGACAAGGTAATCCACAGAAATTGTATCCATGTGCATAATACTCGATAAAACTGTCTCCTGCAGAGAGGAACTATGATGCCGGCGACCGGGAGCTCTTAGCGGTGAAGTTGGCGTTAGAGGAGTGGAGACACTGGCTGGAGAGCGCCAAGGACCCATTTCTCATCCTCACCGACCATCGGAACCTGGAGTAGACACAGACAGCGAGGCGGCTGAACCCACGCCAAGCAAGGTGGGCCCTTTTCTTCACTAGATTCGACTTCACCTTGTCATATCGCCCAGGTTCAAAGAACATCAAAGCCGATGCCCTGTCCCATCTCTACAATTCGGGAGAGGTTCCTGTCCTGAGTGCACCCATCTTTCCGCCCTCCCGAGTCATTGCCCCCGTCCTTTGGGATGTAGATGTGGTCATTCGCCAGGCTCTGGAGAGGGAACCCGTGCCTGCTATCTGTCTTCCAGAGCGCACCTACGTTCCGACGGGGATCAGCTGTTGACCTGGGCGCACACATCTCTCGTCGCTGGACACTCAGGTATCACCCGCACTATTCAATCTACAGTATCTACGGAATGTACTGGAGGCCCACCTTGGCGCAGTACATTGCTCGCTATGTCAACTCCTGCTCCCAGCACGCTCCAGCAGGGAAACCCCTTCCCCTTCCCGTGCCTCAGCGGCCTTGGTCTCATCTGTCCATTGATTTCGTCACTGATCTCCCCTCTTCTGATGGTTTCACTACTATTATGGTTGTTGTGGACAGATTCTCTCAATCCTGACATGTATACCTCTCTATGGTCTCCCTACCGCTCTCCTGGTCACTGAGGCACTGTTCCAGCAGGTCTTCCGGCACAATGGCCTAACGGAGGACATCGTCTCTGACCTTGGCCCCCAAGGAAAGCCTTCATGGAGAAGCTGGGGGTCACGGTCAGCCTCACTTCCAGGTACTGGCCTCAGTCCAATGGGCAGGTGGAGAGGATGAACCAGGAGCTGGGTAGGTTCCTTAGGAGTCACTGCCAGGACCAGTAGGCCCGGTTCCTTCCCTGAGCGGAGTACGCCCAGAATTCACTGCGTCACTCCTCCACCGGGCTGACCCCCTTCCATAGTGTCCCGGGATATCAGCCAGCCATGGCTCCATGGACCCGAGCCAGACCAAAGCTCCTGCGGTGGACGAGTGGTTCAGGTGCGTAAAGGGGGTTTGGAACGATGCCCACGTGAGGCTCCAGCACGCTGTCCGTCTACAGAAGGAGCAGGCAGACCACCTCCGCAGTGAGGCTCCCATATTCCATCCTGCTGATCACGTCTGGCTCTCTACCAGGAACCTCTCGCTCCGCCTGCCCTGTAGGAAGCCTGCCCTTTAAGGTCCTCTGGACGTTCAACGAGGTAACCTTTAGATTACAACTCCCCACTAATGACAGAATCTCACCCTCTTTTCATGTTTCCCTTCTCAGGCCGGTGGTTCCTGGTCCCCTGGCTGGGCCGTCCCCGACGACACCCCTCCACCTCCCCTGGACATTGATAGGAGCCCTGCCTATGCAGTCAGGTCTCTCCTGGACTCCCGACGTTGTGGGGATCGGCTCCTGTACCTGGTGGACTGGGAGGGTTATGGTCCAGAGGAGCGCTGTTGGGTCCCAGTGGACGACATCCTGGATCCCAACATCGTCCGGGATTTCCACCTAATCCTTCCGGACCGGCCCGTTCCTCGCCCTCGGGGCCGTCCCCCTGGCCGCGCATCAGGAGGGGGGTACTGTCATGCCTACTCCCGCTATCCCGCTCCGGCACTCGACGTTGCCGGTCTACTAACCATCGCACACCTGGCAACCATCATTGCGCACACCTGCTCCCCATCGTTATGCACACCTAGACAGCATCATCACCCTGATTACTCTCCCTTTATTTAGCCCTCAGTAGCCTCAGTCTTCAGGCAGTATTGGTTTTGTTTATGTTCAGTACACAACTTTTTATCTTAATTTTTCTTATTATTAAACTCACCTTCTTCACCTTCTTCTTGACTCCCTGCGTATAAATGACAGGAATTATATTTTCAAAGCTGAAATGTCTTGAGTCAATAATAATTCAACCCCTTTATTCTGGCAAGCCTAAATAAGTTCAGGCTTAAAAATGTGCCTAACAAGTCACATAATAAGTTGCATGGACTCACTCTATGTGCAATAATAGTGTTTAACATGATTTTTGAATGACTACCTCATATCTGTACCCCACACATACAATGATCTGTATGGTCCCTCAGTCGAGCAGTGAATTTCGAACACAGATTCAACCACAAAGACCAGGGAGGTTTTCCAATGCCTTTCACCCATGGTAGATGGGTAAAAAAAAGCAGACATTGAATATCCCTTTGAGCATGGTAAAGTTATTAATTACACTTTGGATGGTGTATCAATACACCCAGACACTGCAAAGATACAGGTGTCCTTCCTAACTCAGTTGCCTGAGAGGAAGCTCAGGGATTTCACCATGAAAACAATGGTGACGTAAAAACAGTTATGGCTGTGATAGAAGAAAACTGAGGATGGATCAACAACATTGTAGTTACTCCATATTACTAACCTAATTGACAGATTGAAAAGAAGGAAGCCTGTACAGAATAAAAATATTCCAAAACATGCATCTTGTTTGCATCAAGGCACTAAATTAATTCCGCAAAAACGTTCCTGAATACAAAAGTGTTGTATTTGGGGCAACACATTACTGAGTACCACTCCATATTTTCAAGCATAGTGGTGGCTGAATCACGTTATCTGTATGCTTGTAATTGTTAAGGACTGGGGAGTTTTTCAGGATGAAAAATAAATGGAATGTAGCTAAGCACAGGCAAAGCTTTGCTCAGTCTGCTTTCCACCAGACACAGGGAGATTAATTCACCATTCAGCAGGACAATAACCTAAAACACAAGGCCAAATCTACACTGGAGTTGCTTACCAAGAAGACAGTGAATATTCCTGAGTTACAGTTTTGACTTAAATCTGTTTGAAAATCTAAGGCAAGACTTTATAATGGTTGTCTATCAATGATCAACAACCAATTTGGCAGAGCTTGAAGAATTTTTAAAGAATAATGGGCAAATATTGTACAATTCAGGTATGCAAAGCTCTTAGAGACTTACCCAGAATGACACACAGCTGTAATCGCTGCCAAAGGTGATTCTAACATGTATTGACTCAGGGGTGTGAAAACGTATGTAAATTAGATATTTATGGTTTCATTTGCAAACATTTCTAAAAACATGTTTTCACTTTGTCCTTATGGGGTATTGTGTGTAGATGGTTGAGAAAGTCTATTTAATCAATTTTGAATTAAGGCGGTAACACAACAACTAGCATTTCACTGTTAGTCTCCACCTGCTGTTTACAAAGCATGTGACAAATAATTTGATTTTATTTGTGTGTGTGTGTGTGTCAGTGGAGGCTGGTGGGAGGAGCTATAGGAAGATGGGCTCATTGTAATGGCTGGAATGTGTGTGTGTGTGTGTGTGTGTGTGTGTGTGTGTGTGTGTGTGTGTGTGTGTGTGTGTGTGTGTGTGTGTGTGTGTGTGTGTGTGTGTGTGTGTGTGTGTGTGTGTGTGTGTGTGTGTGTGTGTGTGTGTGTGTGTGTGTGTGTGTGTGGACGTGTTTAACTATTCTTGTGGGGACTTCTGGTCCCTTCTGTAACCCTAAACCTAACCCCTAAGCCTAAAATAGCCTTTTTTGAAGTGAGGACCGATTCACTTTTCTGAATTTTTGTTGGTTTAGTATATTTGTGAGGACTTCTGGTACTCACAAGTTTAGTAAAACGTACACACACACACACACACATACACCTTATGGAACAGCGGGGACTGTGAAGAGACACAAACACAGGCACAGACACATACATACACACACACGATAACATACGCACTATACACACACGTACACATGGATTTTGTGTTATAGATATGTGGTAGTAAAGTAGTGGCCTGACGGCACACACTTAATGTGTTGTGAAATCTGTTGTGAATGTATTGTGATGTTTTTAATTGTATAACTGCCTTAATTTTGCTGGACCCCAGGAAGAGTAACTGCTGCCTTGGTAGCAGCTAATGGGGATCCATAATAAATACAAATACAAATACAAATACAAATACAAATACACATACACACACACACACACGGCAGGTAGGGCAGCAGGTAGCCTAGCTGTTAGAGCGTTGGGGCCAGTAACCGAAAGGTCACTAGCTTGAATCCTCGAGCAGACAAAGTGAAAAAACTGTCGATGTGCCCTTGAGCATGGCACTTGACCATAATTGATCCAGGGTCGCTGTTGATAATGGCTGGCCATGACCCTGCTCTCTTACGGTGTCTCAGGTGGAGTTGGGATATGCGTATAGCACAGTTGAACATGTGTGAAACAGGACAATTATAAGCACACACCAAATTCTTATTATACACATCTTTCTTCCTAAAACCAGGTTTCAGCTTACACCCAGCTACTGCAGGGTTTTTGAATTGTGCAGAAGTGTATGACATCACCCATTTCAGTCTGCCCTCCCGCCCATAAATACTGTAGCCGAAGCCAGGACACGTCTCTTCAGCTGTGTTTTCACCTCAGGTGGACTGTATCTGTACTGTATTTAGGGACAAGACCACACTCTGTGGCATTGGAGTACCAGATCAGCTCACACATCTGGATACAATATGGAGATTAGAACTACCTGTCTGCTCATGACACTGGTAAGGTTTGATGTTTGAGATCAATCTGCTGAATAGAGGGTCCATGGACTGATGGGCAGACACAGTGGCTTATCATGCTCAACCATTCATTTGGATACAGTTTGGAATGGGACTTTCTGTGTTCTTTCAGACCAGGATTTAAATAGCATATTTAAATCTAATTTATCATACTGATTAAGCAACCAGAGTTAAAGCATTTCTTGTTGAATATATAGTGCTTTAGATCTTTGGGTCTGGAAGGTGGGTAAAATCTGGAATCATCAAATTTTTTTGCAGTGTTTAGTACCTTAATAATTCATGTTATTTTCATCAAAACCTGAATTGCAATAACCAGTAGGTCAAGTCAATATACTGTATAAGGAAATGCACTTATATTGATGCTTCAAGGTATGTAATTATCTCATGACAATGTGTGAGGGAAGACCTAAACAACCAAGTAACAGGACCTCACAGGGTCTAATAACTAACACTAAGGCAACCAAAATACTTCATGCTATCATTTGCCTTCTCTCTCATGGTCAAAGTATAGTAAAGTGTACGTTGACACGTTTACATAATGAGAGAATCATGAGACCGGTCCCCTTTACAGGTGTGACCAGTAAGATGGCGATTAAGATTGTGGTGAGATGAGCTCAGCTAAGAGTCTTTATGTTCCCATGGCTTTCAGTCCCACAGACAGAGGGACTCACATTCAGCCCCATTCATTCTTATGTACACTTTAACCGTACATTATTGGGGCACTACTCACAATAGAGACAGGCTCACCTTTCAGGGGAATACCTTTTTTCTAACCAATGTATCTATTCTTGTCTGGTTTGCTCTGTAGTGTCTGGGGATTGTCAGTGTGTCCTGTGAAGAGTTACTGCATCGGCAGAAGAGAGTCTGGATCATAGACTCTTTTAAGATCGAGGAGGAGAGGCCCGGACCTTATCCTCATGTACTGGGGAATGTAAGTAAAGATCACAAACTCTTTTGTCGAGAGGGAAACACCTCCTTTTTCCATGTAATCACATATCACCCAAACACACCCACATGCCCGCACAAACATACATGGTCGGACAGGCGGGCGGACGGACAAGTGTGCACATGCACACAAACAAGGTCATGCACTGAATGGATGTTTTGTTTCAGATTAACGTAGAGAAGAAGTTCCGTGTGGGTTTCCATCTACATGGCCAAGGTGTTGATCTGGACCCCAAAGGAATACTGTCCGTCAATACAAACACCGGAGAGATCTTAGTTCATGGAAAACTAAACTACGAGGATCACAATAAACTTAAGGTGGGAGAGAATGGCACTCATTACCCATAAAATTAAATAAATAAAATAAAAAAAACATTTAAAAAACATTTCAGGATACATGTGACAAATTTACAATTGGCCAAATATTTTATTTGAAAAAATTATAATTCTATACATTTTAAATACACTGAATTTTTTTTGTCTGAGACCAACCACCCGGACAGCTGATGAAACTGTGGGTTTGCACTACCGAATAATTTCTGCACAAACTGTCAGAAACTGTCTCAGGGAAGCTCATCTGAGTGCTCGTCGTCCTCACCAGGGTCTTGACCTGACTGCAATTCAGCGTCATAACCGACTTCAGTGGGCAAATGCTCGCCTTCAATGGCCACTGGCACACTGGAGAAGTGTGCTCTTCACGGATGAATCCCAGTTTCACCTGTACTGGGCAGATGGCAGACAGTGTGTGTATGGCGTCGTATGGGCAAGCGGTTTGCTGATGTCAACGTTGGGAACAGAGTGCCCCATGGTGGCGGTGGGGTTATGGTATGGGCAGGCATAAGCTACAGGCAATGAACACAATTGCATTTTACCAATGGCAATTTGAATGCACAGAGATACCGTGACGTGATCCTGAGGCCCATTGTTGTGCCATTCATCCGCCACCATCACCTCATGTTTCAGCATGATAATGCACGGCTCCATGTCTGTACACGATTCCTGAAAGCTGAAAATGTCCCAGTTGTTCCATGGCCTGCATACTCATCAGACATGTCACCCATTGAGCATGTTTGGGATGTTCTGAATCGACGTGTACGACAGCGTGTTCCAGTTCCCACCAATATCTAGCAACTTCGCACAGCCATTGAAGAGGAGTGGGAAAACATTCAACAGGCCACAATCAACAGCCTGATCAACTCTATGCGAAGTTGATGTGTCACGCTGCATGAGGCAAATGGTGGTCACACCAGATACTGACTGGTTTTCTGATCCACGGCACTACTTTTTTTTTAAGGTACAGTGTCTGTGACCAACAGATGCATATCTGTAAGGGTTGGTGAGAGGTGTGACCCAGGTGTGGTGCAGGATAGACAGTAGGCAGTAGGCAGAGATGGTGAAACAAGGATCTTTACTGGTGGTCCCAAAACCAGGATACAAAATAACGGACTTGTCACAAAAAAATAAAGGAGGGGCAAATTGGTCTCCAAAAAGAGGCTGACAGCAAACATATGTAATACTAACTAAGACTGACAATAACAATGAAAGAGGGAGAACACTTCTCAAGTACCTGTACATACGTCTCGTGATCAGACACTGATTAGTACTGTTTGGCATCGAGAACTAGCAGAGAAAACAGAGCAAGGGAACACAGGGAAGTGAGGGCATAAATACACAGGTGAACAGGTAGACACAGGTGACACCAATAAGATAATGATTAGTCCAGACTGTGAGTGAGGAGGTGCCTAAGGTTGTCGGAGGATGACACCTAGTGGGTCGCTCCGGAACTGCGACCCCCTCCTGTAACACATATCTGTATTCCCAGAAATAGATTAGGGCCTAATGAATTTATTTCAATTGGCTGATTTCCTTATATGAACTGTAACTCAGTAAAATCTTTGAAATTGTTGCATGTTGCGTTTATATTTTTGTTCAGTGTACATTCCAACGTATATTACGGAATGTATTGGCCAGTTTTATTGCTTCTTTAATCAGCACAACAGTTTTCAGCTGTTCTAACATAATTGTAAAAAGGTTTTCTAATGATCAATTAGCCTTTTAAAATGATAAACTTGGATAAGCAAACACAACGTGCCATTGGAACACAGGACTGATGGTTGCTGATAATGGGCCTCTGTACGCCTATGTAGATATTCCATAAAAAATCAGCAGTTTCCAGCTACAATAGCCATTTACAACATTAACAATGTCTACACTAATCAATTTGATGTTATTTAAATGGACAAAATAATTGCGTTTCTTTCGTAAATAAGGACAATTCTAAATGACCCCAAACTTTTGAACGGTAGTGTATATATAAATGTATGTCAAATGTATATCACAATATATGTTAAATGCATTGGAACATTTATTTAATGTATTTCAAAATACATTCTTAGTGATATATTTTACATATATTCCAACATGCATTTAAATGTAGTTGTAAGAAATATATTTTTTTCTTCAAATGTGTAGCAATATATTTTTATTTCTTTTGCCAAATCATATTGTAACAAAATGGTGACTGTCTTCACAATTAAACTTTAGTAGGCTATTATAATTACAGACCACAACATAACACATTAACAGGCATGACAATCCGGACTCATGGGAGGTCAAAAGGCATGAAGACAAAGCCACGCCCCCCCAACCAGCCACACCTCCAAATCTTTTAATAGGTTACCGCCACTACAATATATTTGTTCAAAATGACTACGAAATTATTACAAACATGATACATTATCGGTCATGTAGTGACTCCATATCTTTCATGTGCATATGACAAATAAACAAACAAACTTGACGAGAGCATTGCAACCAACGTCCAACTGGCAGAACTTAACATGTACTGGGTCTTTCTACGAAATGAGTGCCCTTTGCGTCCCTTTAATATGTTACATAGAAATACTGCAACAATATAGAATTTTATGTTATGTTAAATGAAGTGCCCTTTAATATATACCACATGAAGAATTAAATAAATCATATTTTCAATACAAATAAAGACTTGCTAAAGTATAAAAATTCTGAATTTTGACATCCCTCTGCACACCCACTGTGACTTCTAGGAAGAATTTACCCCACTAACCTCCCAAAATACTAAAAGTTTTCACCATCATTGTAAAGCCCTAGTTACTGTGTTGCTTTGACAAAGTTATTTCTGAAGATTATTTCATGTGATTATTTTTATTTTTATTTTTATTTCACCTTTATTTAACCAGGTAAGCCAGTTGAGAACAAGTTCTCATTTACAACTACGACCTGGCCAAGATAAAGCAAAGCAGTGCGATAAAAACAACAACACAGAGTTACATATGGGGTAAAACAAAACAAAGTCAAACATACAACAGAAATAAGTATAAATACAGTGTGTGCAAATGTAGCAAGTTATGGAGGTAAGGCAATAAATAGGCTATAGTGCAAAATAATTACAATTAGTATTAACACTGGAATGATAGATGTGCAAGAGATGATGTGCAAATAGAGATACTGGGGTACAAATGAGCAAAATAAATAACAATATAGGGATGAGGTAGTTGGGCGGGCTAATTTCAGATGGGCTGTACAGGTGCAGTGATCGGTAAGGTGCTCTGACAACTGATGCTTAAAGTTAGTGAGGGAGATAAGTGTCTCCAGCTTCAGAGATTTTTGCAATTTGTTCCAGTCATTGGCAGCAGAGAACTGGAAGGAATGGCGGCCAAAGGAGGTGTTGGCTTTGGGGATGACCAGTGAGATATACCTGCTGGAGCGCATACTACGGGTGGGTGTTGCTATGGTGACCAATGAGCTAAGATAAGGCGGGGATTTGCCTAGCAGTGATTTATAGATGGCCTGGAGCCAGTGGGTTTGGCGACGAATATGTAGTGAGGACCAGCCAACAAGAGCGTACAGGTCACAGTGGTGGGTAGTATATGGGGCTTTGGAGACAAAACGGATGGCACTGTGATAGACTACATCCAATTTGCTGAGTAGAGTGTTGGAGGCTATTTTGTAAATGACATCGCCGAAGTCAAGGATCGGTAGGATAGTCAGTTTTACGAGGGCATGTTTGGCAGCATGAGTGAAGGAGGCTTTGTTGCGAAATAGGAAACCGATTCTAGATTTAACTTTGGATTGGAGATTCTTAATGTGAGTCTGGAAGGAGAGTTTACAGTCTAACCAGACACCTAGGTATTTGTAGTTGTCCACATACTCTAGGTCAGACCCGTCGAGAGTAGTGATTCTAGTCGGGTGGGCGGGTGCAAGCAGCGTTCGGTTGAAGAGCATGCATTTACTAGTGTTTAAGAGCAGTTGGAGGCTACTGAAGGAGTGTTGTATGGCATTGAAGCTCGTTTGGAGGTTTGTTAACACAGTGTCCAATGAAGGGCCAGATGTATACAAAATGGTGTCGTCTGCGTAGAGGTGAATCTGAGAGTCACCAGCAGCAAGAGCGACGTCATTGATATACACAGAGAAAAGAGTCGGCCCAAGAATTGAACCCTGTGGCACCCCCATAGAGACTGCCATAGGTCCAGACAACAGGCCCTCCGATTTGAAACATTGAACTCTATCAGAGAAGTAGTTGGTGAACCAGGCGAGGCAGTCATTTGAGAAACCAATGCTATTTAGTCTGCCAATAAGAATGCGGTGGTTGACAGAGTCGAAAGCCTTGGCCAGGTCAATGAAAACGGCTGCACAGTACTGTCTATTATCGATCGCGGTTATAATATCGTTTAGGACCTTGAGCGTGGCTGAAGTGCACCCATGACCAGCTCGGAAACCGGATTGCATACCGGAGAAGGTACGGTGGGATTCGAAATGGTCGGTGATCTGTTTGTTAACTTGGCTTTCAAAACTTTTGAAAGGCAGGGCAGGATGGATATGGGTCTGTAACAGTTTGGATCTAGAGTGTCACCCGCTTTGAAGAGGGGGATGACCGCGGCAGCTTTCCAATCTCTGGGGATCTCAGACGTTACGAAAGAGAGGTTGAACAGGCTAGTAATAGGGGTTGCGACAATTTTGGCGGCTAGTTTTAGAAAGAAAGGGTCCAGATTGTCTAGCCCAGATGATTTGTAGGGGTCCAGATTTTGCAGCTCTTTCAGAACATCAGCTGTCTGGATTTGTGTGAAGGAGAAGCGGGGGGGGCATGGGCAAGTTGCAGCGGAGGGTGCAGAGCTGGTGGCCGGGGTAGTGGTAGCCAGGTGGAAAGCATGGCCAGCCGTATCAAAATGCTTGTTGAAATTCTCGATTATTGTAGATTTATCGGTGGTGATAGTGTTTCCTAGCCTCAGTGCAGTGGGCAGCTGGGAGGAAGTGCTCTTATTTTCCATGGACTTTACAGTGTCCCAAAACGTTTTGAAGTTAGTGCTACAGGATGCAAATTTCTGTTTGAAAAAGTTAGCCTTTGCTTTCCTAACTGCTTGTGTATATTGGTTCCTAACTTCCCTGAAAAGTTGCATATCGCGGGGGCTATTTGATGCTAATGCAGTACGCCACAGGATGTTTTTGTGCTGGTCAAGGGCAGTCAAGTCTGAGGAGAACCAGGGGCTATATCTGTTCTTAGTTCTGTATTTTTTGAATGGGGCATGTTTATTTAAGATTGAGAGGAAATTACTTTTAAAGAACAACCAGGCATCCTCTACTGACGGAATGAGATCTATATCCATCCAGGATACCTGGGCCAGGTCAATTAGGAAGGCCTGCTCGCTGAAGTGTTTTAGGGAGCGTTTGACAGTGATGAGGGGTGGTTGTTTGACCGCGGACCCATTACGGACGCAGGCAATAAGGCAGTGATCGCTGAGATCCTGGTTGAAGACAGCGGAGGTGTATTTAGAGGGTAAGTTAGTCAGGATGATATCTATGAGGGTACCCATGTTTACGGATTTAGGGTTGTACCTGGTAGGTTCTTTGATAATTTGTGTGAGATTGAGGGCATCTAGTTTAGATTGTAGGATGGCCGGGGTGTTAAGCATATCCCAATTTAGGTCACCAAGCAGTACGAACTCTGAGGATAGATGGGGGGCAATCAATTCACATATGGTGTCCAGGGCACAGCTGGGGGCTGAGGGGGGTCTGTAGCAAGCGGCAACAGTGAGAGATTTATTTCTGGAAAGGTGGATTTTTAGAAGTAGAAGCTCAAACTGTTTGGGCACAGATCTGGATAGTATGATAGAGCTCTGCAGGCTATCTCTACAGTAGATTGCAACTCCACCCCCTTTGGCAGTTCTATCTAGACGGAAAATGTTATAGTTGGGGATGGAAATTTCAGAATTTTTGGTGGCCTTCCTAAGCCAGGATTCCGACACTGCTAGAACATCAGGGTTGGCGGAGTGTGCTAATGCAGTGAATAACTCAAACTTAGGAAGGAGGCTTCTGATATTTACGTGCAGAAAACCAAAGCTTTTACGGTTACAGAAGTCAACAAATGATAGCTCCTGGGGAGTAGGAGTGATACTGGGGGCTGCAGGGCCTGGGTTAGCCTCTACATCACCAGAGGAACAGAGGAGGACTAGAATAAGGATACGACTAAAGGCTTTAAGAACTGGTCTTCTAGTGCATTGGGTACATAGAATAAAGGGGGCAGTTCTCCGGGCGTTGTAGAAAAGATTCAGGGCATTATGTACAGAAAAGGATATGGATGGATATGAGTACAGTGGAGGTAAACCTATGCGTTGGGTAACAATGAAAGAGATAGCATCACTGGAGGCACCGATTGAGCCGGTCTCGGCGTGTATGTGGGGTGGAACAAAGGAACTATTTGAGGCAGTTTGAAAGGGACTAGGGGTTCTACAGTGAAATTGTATAATAAGAACTAACCCAAACAGCAATAGGCAAGGCATATTGACAAGGGAGAGAGGCATAAAGCAATCACAGGTGTTATTAGAGAGAGCTAAGACAACAACTGGTAATAGCGATAAAGTTTGGGCTGAGGCTAAACAGAATAAACAGGGTACCGTGTAAAGGAACAGTCCAGCAGGCATCAGCTGTGCAGCTGAGTGATTTCGTCGGCAAACCAGTCATGTTGGATCGGCGGGGCTCAGTGTCAACACTAGGAGGTCCCGTCCAGTTGACAGAGAGGTAGATAGCCGGGAGATGGGCCTGAGGCTAGCTCAAGGCTAACTGGTGCTTGCTATAGGGCAATGGTAATTAGCCAACAACAGGTTGCAGCTAGCTAGCTGGTTGCGATGATCCGGCGCTAGGGTCCAGTGATTCCGGCAGAAAGTCCGATAAGCTCTGGGTCGATAGCACGCTGTGCAGACTGGCCGACGAATTGTCCAGGCTAGAGCTAGAGCTGGCTGGTGGATAGTGTAGGCCACGGACAATGGTGAAGACGCTAACGGTGACTAATAGCAAGTAGCCATTCAGTTGCAGCTACACTAGTTTCAGCTTAAGGTTCTTGATGAAAGTTATAAAGAAATAATAGAATCCTTTCCACGTTGGGTGAGGCGGGTTGCAGGAAAGTATATTTAGTTAAAGAATGAAAAGTAAAAATTGAGAAATATATACAAAATAGACCAAAAAAACAAGAAACGGGATATTTACACTAGGACAATGAATAAAACCGCGACCGCACTGCTACGCCATCTTGGAAGCATTAGTGATTAGTTTACATCTGTCCTTCATTTTAAGGTCAACCTGTTACGTGAACTGATCTATTATTTTAATATGGTGAAACTATTAGTTTTTAAATATGTATTTCAAAAGAGACATTGAACATCTAACAGTCAAACCATAGTGTAAAAGCAGGTGAGCTTTTTTTGTTTGGCCATTTTCTGGTGCTTTGTAGTGAAAAACTGACCGGGTCGAACATAACACGTCAAACCTCTAACCCATAGACAGGCTAAAAATACCAGTTGGAGGGCCGTTCAAGTAGATTTTTCCCACTTGGTTATGAACACACCACACCACAACACCGCTAACAATCCACTGTACAGCTGTATAATAAATTAGCTTTTATTGTTTAAAGAAATTAGGAAAGAGATTGGTGTGTTTTTTCACTATATATAGTCATGACATGGGGTTGTTCTTTCCCCACATAGACAAGAGGAACATCTACGTATGTGAGAATGCTGTTCATTGACTACAGCTCAGCATTCAAAATCTTAGTGCCATCCAAGCTCATCACTAAGCTAAGGACCCTGGGACTAAACACCTCCCTCTACAACTGTATCCTGGACTTCCTGACAGGCCACTCCCAGGTGGTGAGGGTAGGCAACAACACATCTGCCATGCTGAACCTCAACATGGGGGCCCCTCAGGGGTGCGTGCTTAGTCCCCTCCTGTACTCCCTGGTCACTGACGACTGCATGGCTGCACTCGACTCCAATAGTTTGCCGACGACACAAAGGTGGTAGGCCTGATCACCGACAACAATGAGAGCCTATAGGGAGGAGGTCAGAGACCTGGCAGTGTGGTACCAGGACAACAACGTCTCCCTCAACGTCTGTAAGACAAAGGAGCTGATCGTAGACTTCAGGAAACTGAGGGCCGAGCACGCCCCCATTCAAATCGACGGGGCTGTAGTGGAGCGGGTCCTCGATGTCCACATCACTAAGGATCTATCATGGTCCACACACGCCAACACAGTCGTGAAAAGGACACTACAATGCCTCTTCCCCCTCAGCAGGCTGAAAGATTTGGCTCGGGCCCTCAGATCCTCAAAAATTCTACAGCTGCTTCATTGAGAGCATCTTAACTGACTGCATCACTGCTTGGTATGGCAACTGCTTGGCATACGACTGCAAGGCGATACAGAGGGTAGTGTGTACAGCCCAGTAGATCACTGGGGCCGAGCTCACTGCCATCCAGGACCTCTGACACCGCCTGGTAGAGAGGTCCTGGATGGCAGGGAGCTCGGCCTTAAAAAGACTCCAGCCACCCACGTCATAGACTGTTTTCTCTGCTACCGCACAGCAAGTGGTACCAATGCACCAAGTCTGAAACCAACAGGACCCTGAACTGCTTCTACCCCCCAAGCCATAAGACTGCTAAATAGTTAGTTAAATATTTAATCAAATAGCTACCTGGACTATCAGCATTAACCCTTTTTACACTCACTTTTTTGACACATCACATACAATGCTGCTACTGTTTACAATCTGTCACTTTATTCCTGGTACTCCGTGAATATAACCAAGTTAAAGGCGTTGCATGGCCAATCCGACATCTGCATTGGCCATGCAGCATTTACGGTGATAAGGACTCTGCAGAAGTCAGGGCATTCATACTTCTTGCGCTTCGTGGAGCAGCGCAGCGCTGTTGTGATGGAAGTTGTCAAGGAAGTGAGTTTGTGTTCATACAGGACCTCCCGCCCCCACCTACCATCAACCAATCATGTCAATACGAAGCTATACGGAGCCCTCCGCATTGTTAAAACATTTGGGAGGTACACAGTGATGCGGTACGCAGCTAAACTTGGCCTATGCATGCCTCCGGAGGCTCCGCAGTTGCGTCACACCCTCCATACGGAACTTCAGACCACATTTTCGGATGAAACATAAATGGCCCTTATCGTTACTCATTGTGTATTTATCATTACTTTTATTATTCCATGTTTTACTTTTAGTTTTTATTAAATGTGTTGCTTGATTGTTTGATAGTTTGCTTGATTGGTTGATGTATTGATTGGTTGGTTGGTTGGTTGATTGATTGGTGAATTGATTCACATCTTCCTTATCACATGGGACTACAGCTGACATTTGAGGCCAGAGATGCAACCAATAATGTAGTGGACACCCGACTGGGAGTAGAGATTGAGATTCTAGACATCAATGACAACCCACCTGTTTTCGAGAACAACCTCCACATCATCAACCTGAATGAGTCTGCTTCACAAGGTAATATGCTTTATTTGTTTGTATCTTTCTTTATTTTATTCTTACTGTCTTGCTTTCTTACTTTTATTTATTGCAGATCAAGAAAAACCACACGGTGGGTTCACTCAGAATGTTTATGATGTGTTGTTAAAGTAACTGTCAAGTGTTTCCAAATTTCTATAATAGTTATAATAATTATTTATAATATGAGTGAAATAGTTTTCCTTCCAAAAATGTTTAATTAAGTATGTTAAAAAACAGCTGTTCTGTGTTGGAATGGTGTGGGCACACCCCAACAACAGAATGGTGTGGGCGTGTACCGGTCATTAAATATATTAATGTGAGTGATTGGCCAGCTAATCCTCCTCAGGAGGATGACATCATCCTCTATAAGGAAATAGCAAGCATTTTTGAAGCGGTCTGTTTTTAGATGGTTTTTTAAAAAGTGTTTCTTTCTACAATTTATGCTTTGGCCACAAATATAGTATAGAATGAGTCAACAACATTATTTGGGTATGAGTTAACAGAATATACACTTTTAAAAGTGAGATTTTCAATGGACAGTTACTTTAAAATCAACACAAATTGCAGACATTGACAACAGATTTTGCTGTGAAACACACAGAGTAAACATTTTGAGTGAACCTGCGGTGTGGTTGTCCTTTATCTATGATTGGTTGAATTGGGGCCTCTGAAACCATAACTCTCTGTTTCCTCTCAAATCAGGATATTTCCTGGCAACTGTTAATGCAAAAGATAAAGATAAAAAGAACACAAACAATGGCACCTTTGACCTGAAGATTGTCTCCATCACCCCTACACCCCCAGACGACCTGGAATTTTTCCTTCAGCAAACTGGTGAAACTAATGGCATCAAATTCAAAGGGTGTCTGGACCATGAGGTAAGAGGGGCCTCTACTATTGTCTATAATCTTTCTTTCATGAACTGTTAACTATATTGTGACTGTTTCAATCATCCACTTCAGAAATCAGAGAAATACACCATCCTGGTGGAGGCTAAAGACCGTGGAGAAGTGGTTCAGCTCTCCAGCACCTGTACAACCATCATCAATATAAATGATGGAAACAACCATCTGCCTGTCTTCACTGGGCAAACGGTGGGCAACATAATTCTATCCTCTTCTCTTTATCACAAGATGTGGTGGAGGTATTTGTTCAAATATACTAATGAATCTCCGGAACCACAACTATATCCCTCTTATAATGTCCATCCTCCTGGGATATTATGTTATTTCAGGGTGCAGGAAGCATCAAGGAGAGAGACAGCGGTGATGTACCAGTTCTTCGGCTCCAGGTTTCAGACCAAGATACCAAAGGTACTGAAGCCTGGAAGGCCAAATACACTATCCACGGAGACAAGGACCAGAACTTCAGAATCACCACTGACCCAGAGACCAACGAAGGAGTCTTGTTTGTTCAAAAGGTCTGTTACCTTTCAAATAAGTCAATGCTACCTAAATAAGATAATGTATGTCATGTGAGACTTTCTAATTTTCTGCCAATTACTTTCTAAAGTTGTTCTATTAATCATATTTTTGTTGTTGTTGCAATCAAATTAATAGCAGACCTGTAGTAGTAGCTGATGAACTGGGCTTGTAGATGTGGTTGCAATAATCATATCCCTGTATTCATTTGTTTGACTAAACACTAAATCATCCTTCCGTAACCCACGTTCTCCCTCTGTCTCCTGGTAGCCTCTGGACTACGAAGACGGCTCTCTGAGGAACCTGTCAGTCAGTGTAGAGAACGAGGCACCCTACTTCTCTTGTAAGGTCAAAGGTCGTTCTGCCACGGGCCTGTGGGATGTGGTCACCACAAGGGGGGTATCTTTGACAGGCCTCACGCCACCCCTGCTTCCCACCCGCCAGGTGACGGTCACGGTGGAGGATGTCAACGACCCGCCCATCTTCACCCCTGCCATCAAAAACGTGACGGTGGAGGAGAATGTGGAGGTGGGCTGGTACCTGGAAACGTTCACTGCCATCGATCTGGACAGGAAGCATGCCAACACCTTCACGTAAGACTGGGGATGCATTTAACCCGCCCTTCAGTGGGACTTCTGTTCTATAGCATCTCCTACAGTTTTGCAGCACCTCCTTTTGTTCATCATGCTAGACTGGGAATTTAGCCAGTTCTCCATGACAATGTTCTTACAGTTTATTACCAGTTTATAACTATAATTAATTTGACCTCAGCAAGAACCACAGATCATTCTTGATTTTTATAAAAATTAAACTTAAAGTGTCATACTTCGATCCTATGTTGTGATGATGAATACAACTTTGTTTGCTAGACCTGTAGCCGAAAATACAGCTTACAGGCCCAAACCATGTCTTGTAGGTACGTGAAAGGAAAGGACCCTTGTGACTGTGTGGCAATAGACCCAAAGACTGGCAAAATAACCACAACTAAGATCTTAGACCGAGAGTCACCTTACGTTAAGGACAATGTCTATCAAGTGACACTGTTTGCCATTGATGATGGTAAGAACTATAAAAAGTACTATTCCAATACAGTAAATTAAACCAATATCAGTGAAATAACAATGTATCTGCATATCATTCACAGTACCACCAGTATGTGTCAGTTGAGAGTTTCTCTGATTGACAGGCCAGCCTCCCATGACTGGAACTGCAACGCTCAACATCCACCTAAAGGACCAGAATGACAACCTTCCAGAGCTTGAGATGGCCACCATGGACATGTGTCTCTCAGATGAGCCCTCCGAGGTCAACATCACAGCCTACGACCTGGATGGAGACCCCTACAGCGGACCCTTCTACTTCCAGCTCCAAGGGAATAATGTCAAGGGCAAGTGGAGGATTGACCCTAACAATGGTGAGGCTTTCCTCCTCATAAATGTCTTGTACACACTATCTGGCCTCTCATTCCTAATACATTATTCCATATGGGCTCATTGACCCTCTACATACCCACTATTGTAGCCACGTTCAAGTGCTCGGAACCTCAGAGTTAAAATCAATGTAAGTTATTTGCATAGAGCTTCCTATTGGTTGATTCTGATACTTCCCAAGTGGGAAACTCAGGATCATCTTTCTACAACGAGTTAGCAAGGTGGACATTTCAGAGTTTCCTAGTTCCGACTAGCACGTGAACGCGGCATAAGTCTCTCAATAGTATAGGCCTATACTTCATGCAGTCATCAACTAGCTAAACGAATGCTATTATCGCTCTTTCTCACTACACATCCCTCCAGGCTACACAGTGAACCTGGTGAAGGAGAACACAGTGTACGCAGGTCACCACGAGCTGCTGCTGAAGGTGTTTGACCTGCAGGGTCAGGGTGCCCTCCACAACCTGTCCGTCACTGTGTGTGACTGCTCAGGCGTGGCCAACTGCCGCATGCGCAGGGCCACTGGATCCAAGATTGGAGAGAGTGCTGTAGGGATTGTCATCGCTGCCATGCTGCTACTACTAGGTAGACCATAGTCTTTTGAGTCTTGTGTTTGGGTGAAAATACAAACTGGCCTACATCGCCACCTAGTGTTGATTTGGCATACTGGCTCCCACTAAATACTTACAGTAGAACTTCACAGAAGAGCACAGCACAGGTTAGTTTGAAGGAAGATTTGTATCTAATCAAAACGTGTGTGTGTCCCTCCTAGGTTTTCTACTGTTGGCCCTCCTGATGACCTGTAAGAGAGAACTGAAGCTGATCCCTATAGAAGTCTCTGGAGAACATCTGATCAAATCTAACATTGAGATTCCAGGAACTGATTGCAAGGTAACCACAGACAACATTACTATCACTACAATCACATGTTCTTCTCTGGACATTGCTTTTTTCCATCATACAATATGCTGTTTTTGATCCTAGGTGCCTATGGCTACCATAGTCCAAGTGGACAGTCAGGTGGAAACAAAAGCTGCTTTTCAAACAGTCAAGACGATGTCGGTTAGGAAACATGCAATATTCAATCACCATAATTTTTTTGGTTCATTCTGGGCATATTTGAAAACTGTTTATCCATGACAAGTATATATTTTCCCAGGCTGTACAAAAGTCAGCCAGTATGCGAGCACCGGTACGTTCAGGATATTCCCAGTATTCCTCCTCCTACCAAGAGCAACAACATGGACAGTTTCAACGAGGAACCTCTCTGCGCAAGGTAGGCTATAGAAATCAAATAAATCTACTACCTTTATCCATTTTTGACCTGTTAATTAAATTCTCAGTGGCAACATTTAACATTTTGTTTCAGAGTGCGCCCACAAAATTACGCTCCAATGGCTATTGTGGACAGGTATTTCAAAATCGAATATTTCAATTTAACTTATGCAAACAATTTTTTCTGAGACTTTCACTTGACAAATGTTGCATTGTGTTGGTTGTATGTGTGTGTATGTGTGTTCTGTGTAGTGATATTATGTTTCTGATCACTCAGGAGTCAATGGTGAGCAGATCAATGAAGACAAGAATAAGATACTCCTCATTGGAAGAAGATCATTATCTCAACAAATCCGGGCACTTGATGACTCTAATGAATCAGGTAACAATGTGCAGGAGTCACAAACAATCATGGCTGTAATCAATGAAAAAACATTCTAATTGTGATTTTTTGTATGTACTAGTTAAACTGTTTGATTCATTGTCGATTAACCTTATTGTGACTACCACTCTCCTCCATTCACTTCAATCTCTCCCTCCCACCCTCCTTCCATCCATCCCCCCACCTTCTCCAGAGGATGTACACCCTGCAGGTTCCAGGAGAGGAGCTAGGGGACTATGCCCCGCACCCCTATGCTGAAGAGGGGGACCTAGAGACAGACCTCCAGCTGGATGCTATCTCCATCCCTGAGACCCCCTTCGACCAGGACACGCTCCTCTACCTGGGTCCCAAGTTCAACACCCTGGCCTCCATCTGCAACACCCCAGACCTCAGCACATCCTAAGCCCATCTCGCCCTCACCCTCTGGGGCAAGAGGGTCTGCCAGGACTGGCTAGTTAGCATAGGCATAACAGGCTAGGTCACCGACCGCGTTCCTGGATTATAAACTGGACTGGATCACTCATTCTTCAAATGAGGTAGAACAGCAAACTTGCTCTTGCAAAATCTGGATAAGAACAAGCAGTGTCATTTTTTACAAAAACCATCAAACGCACACAGGACTATGAAGATCAATGATCAATCAATACAAAGACCAAGATGGAACTCAGTGCTGAAAGGAGAACAATGAAATCTACCAATGGACAACTGTGCTGTTGGGAGCCTGGTTGTACATATCAGGCTACAGTCTGATCTACAGTACACTGGCCAGTGGCCACTCTTGCAGCATTGACCAGCCACCACAAACCAACACAGGATTTCTGCACTGAGAACACACATAGAGAGAGACATGTAGTGGAAAATACTTGCATGTCACTGACTTGCTCTGTGCTTTTATGAATGTGATGGCTGCAGTGAAGTGCTATGACAGTGAACATACCACACCATTTCTTACCACTTTATTCTTCACAAAATAAATTGAGTCAGAATGGTCTAATATTGTTTCCTATGATGGTTATGATGATGATTATCAAACCAAATGTTATTTATCACATGCTTCATAAACAACAGGTGTAGACTAACTTACTTATGGGCCCTTCCCAACAATGCAGAGAAAAATATAAATAGTAGAAAAAATTAGAAAGAAAAAGCATAAAAACAATAACACAAGGAATAAATAGAACAATAATAACACAAGGAAAAAATACACAAGTAACGACAACTTGGCCATATACACGGGTTATCAGTACAGAGTAGATGTGCAAGGGTACGAAGTAATTGAGGAAGATAAGTACATACAGGTAGGGATAAAGTGACTAGGAAACAGGATAGATAATAAACAGTAACTAACAGCTGCATATGTGGTGAGTCAAAAGAGATTAGCACAATAAAGTTAAATGCAGCTATTCCGGGTAGCTATAGATTAACTATTTAACTAACTATTTAGAAGTCTTATAGCTTGGGGGTAGAAGCTGTTCAGGGTCCTGTTGGTTCCAGACTTGATGCATCGGTAATGCTTGCAGTGCGGTAGCAGAGAGAACAGTCTATGACTTCGGTGGCTGGAGTCTTTGACAATTTTTAGGGTCTTCCTCTGACACCGCCTGGTATAGAGCTCATGGATGGCAGGGATCTCAGCCCCAGTGATGTACTGGTCCGTACGCACTACCCCCTGTAGCACCTTGTGGTCGGATGCCAAACAGTTGCCATACCAAGTGGTGATACACCCCGTCTAAATGGTGCAGCTGTATACATTTTTGAGGATCTGAGGGCCTATGCCATGCCAAATATTTTCAGTCTCCTGGGGGGGTAGAGGTGTTGTCGTGCCCTCTTCACGGCTATGTTGATGTGTGTGGACCATGATAGTTCCTTAGTGGTGTGGACACAGAGGAACTTGAAGCTGTCAACCTGTTCCAAAACAGCCCCATCGATGTACATGGGGGCATGCTCGGATTACCAGTGAAAGCTTGGGTTGAAAGTTTTGCGCTGAAGTCTGATTTACAGTTGAAGTTGGAAGTTTACATACAGTACACTTAGGTTGGAGTCATTAAAACTTGTTTTTCAACCACTATAGTTTTGGCAAGTCGGTTAGGACATCTACTTTGTGCATGACACAAGTAATTTTTCCAACAATTGTTTACAGACAGATTATTTCACTTATAATTCATTGTATCACAATTCCAGTGGATCAGAAGTTTACATATACTAAGTTGACTGTGCCTTTAAACAGCTTGTAAAATTCAAGAAATGGCTTTAGAAGCTTCTGATAGGCTAATTGACATTATTTGAGTCAATTGGAGGTGTACCTGTGGATGTATTTCAAGGCCTACCTTCAAACTCAGTGTCTCTTTGCTTGACATCATGGGAAAATCAAAAGAAATCAATCAAGACCTCCACAAGTCTGGTTCATCCTTGGGAGCAATTTCCAAACACCTGAAGGTACCCCGTTCATCTGTACAAACAATAGTACGCAAGTATAAACACCATGGGACCACGCAGCCGTCATACCGCTCAGGAAGGAGACGCGTTCTGTCTCCTAGAGATGAACATACTTTGGTGCGAAAAGTGCAAATCAATCCCAGAACAACAGCAAAGGACCTTGTGAAGATGCTGGAGGAAACAGGTACAAAAGTATCTATATCCACAGTAAAACGAGTCCTATATTGACATAACCTGAAAGGCCGCTCAGCAAGGAAGAAGCCACTGCTCCAAAACCGCCATAAAAAAGCAAGGACTACAGTTTGCAACTGCACATGGGGACAAATATCGTACTTTTTGGAGAAATGTCCTCTGATGATACAAAAATAGAACTGTTTGGCCATGATGACCATCGTTATGTTTGGAGGAAAAAGGGGGTACCTTGTAAGCCGAAGAACACCATCCCAACCGTGAAGCACAGGGGTGGCAACATCATGCTGTGGGGGTGCTTTGCTGCAGGAGGGACTGGTGCACTTCACAAAATAGATGGCATCATGAGGAAGGAAAATTATGTGGATATATTGAAGCAACATCTCAAGACATCAGTCAGGAAGTTAAAGCTTGGTCGCAAATGGGTCTTCCAAATAGACAATGACCCCAAGCATACTTCCAAAGTTGTAGCAAAATGGCTTAAGGACAACAAAGTCAAGGTATTGGAGTGGCCATCACAAAGCCCTGACCTCAATCCTATAGAAAATGTGTGGGCAGAACTGAAAAAGCGTGTGTGAGCAAGGAGGCCTACAAACCTGACTCAGTTACACCAGCTCTGTCAGGAGGAATGGGCCAAAATTCACCCAACTTATTGTGGGAAGCTTGTGGAAGGCTACCTGAAACGTTTGACCCAAGTTAAACAATTTAAAGGCAATGCTACCAAATACTAATTGAGTGTATGTAAACTTCTGACCCACTGGGAATGTGATAAAATAAATAAAAGCTGAAATAAATCCCTTTCTACTATTATTCGGACATTTCACATTCTTAAAATAAAGTGGTGATCTAACTGACCTAAGACAGGGATTTTTTACTAGGATTAAATGTCACGAATTGTGAAAGACTGAGTTTAAATGTATTTGGCTAAGGTGTATGTAAACTTCCGACTTCAACTGTATTCTTCCGACTTGCAAAAGTATTCATCCCCTTGGCATTTTTTCCTATTTTGTTGCATTACAACCTGTAATTTAAATTGATTTTTATTTGGATTTCATGTAATGGACATACACTGCTATGAAGCCCCTAAATAACATCTGGTGCAACCAATTACCTTCAGAAGTCACATAATTAGTTAAATAAAGTCCACCTGTGTGCAATCTAAGTGTCACATGATCTGTCACACGATCTCAGTATATATACACCTGTTCTGAAAGGCCCCAGAGTCTGCAACACCACTAAGCAAGGGGCACCACCAAGAAAGTGGCACCATGAAGACCAAGGAGCTCTCCAAACAGGTCAAGGACAAAGTTGTGGAGAAGTACAGATCAGGGTTGGGTTATAAAAAATATCAGAAACTTTGAACATCCCGCGGACCACCATTAAATCCATTATTTAAGTCTGGCGCAAACCCAACACCAAAAATCCCAGTGGCTAGATGTGCCAAGCTTATAGAGACATACCTCAAGAGACTTGCAGCTGTAATTGCTGCAAAAGGTGGCTCTACAAAGTATTGACTTTGGAGGGGTGAATAGTTATGCACGCTCAAGTTTTCTGTTTTTTTTGTCTTATTTCTTGTTTGTTTCACAAGAAAAAATATTTTGCATCTTCAAAGTGGTAGACATGTTGTGTAAATCAAATTATACAAACCCCCCCAAAATAAATTTTAATTCCAGGTTGTAAGGCAACAAAATAGGAAAAATGCCAAGGGGGTGAATACTTTTACAAGGCACTGTATTGGTGTTGGCTTTGAATGTATATTCTATATGTGTTTATTGGTATGTAAATAAAGGTAATTGTTTTACATTCATTTAGTTTTACTTATGTAATAATGCAGAGTTCTGTGGTATATTTTCATACATCTCAAGTCACAGTTTCAATGAAACTGTCACGCTCTGGCTCCGGGACTGTGTGGTTTGAGCCAGGGTGTATTCATTTGGTTGTGTTGGGTATAGGGTGTGTTCATTTGGTTGTGTTTTGGTTTTGGTTGTAGTGTCTTGTCTGTTCATGTGACTCCCAATCGGAGGTAACGAGTGTCAGCTGTCGGCTCGTTATCTCTGATTGGGAGCCATATTTAAACTGCCTGTGTTCACCTTGTGTTTGTGGGTTTTTGTTCCTTGTCAGTCTTTGTTACTGTGGACTTTACGATTCGTCTATTTTGTTTTGGTACTTTAATTAAATAAAGTCTATCATGTTCGCTCAACGCGCTGCGCTTTGGTCTCCCTCATTTGACGATCGTGACAGAAAAACCCACCACAAAAGGACCAAGCAGCGTGTCCAGGAGCAAGGAGACTGGACATGGGAGGAAGCGCCGGGTAAGGAGATCGAGAGGCTGGCGATGGCCCAGGTGGGCAAATCGTGGTCCTGGGAGGACATGATCGGGGGCAAGGGACCTTGGGGGAGGATCAAGGACCTGGCGAGAGAGGAGCAACGGCGTCAGCAGGGCCATCGTCGGAAGGACGAGAGGCAAACCCAAAAAGTTTTTTGGGGGGGGCACATGGTTTGGGCGGCTGGGCAGCAGGAGGCTGCCACAGGGAGACGTGGAGAGAAGGCTACCGGATTACGGGAGCCATTGGCGAGTAGAGGGAGGGAAGTAGTGGAGGCACGGCGTGAGAGACTGAGGTGTGTTACCAGTCCGGACCGGCCCGTTCCTGATCCCCGGTTAAGGCCAGTGGTGTGTGTTCCCAGTATGGACCGGCCTGTTCCTACTCCACGCACCAAGTCCACGGTGTGCGTCGCCAGCCCAGCCCGGCCTGTTCCTGCTCCACGCACGAGACCTACGGTGTGCGTCGCCAGCCCAGCCCGGCCTGTTCCTGCCACCCGCACCAAGCCTACGGTGTGCGTCGCCAGTCCGACCCGGCCTGTTCCTGCCACTCGCACCAAACCTACGGTGCGCGTCGCCAGCCCGGTCCGGCCTGTTCCTGCCACCCGCACTAAACCTACGGTGTGCGTCGCCAGCCCAGCCCGGCCTGTTCCTGCTCCACGCACAGAGCCTACGGTGTGCGTCGCCAGCCCAGCCCGGCCTGTTCCTGCTCCACGCACGAGACCTACGGTGTGCGTCGCCAGCCCAGCCCGGCCTGTTCCTGCCACCCGCACTAAACCTACGGTGTGCGTCGCCAGCCCAGCCCGGCCTGTTCCTGCTCCACGCACAGAGCCTACGGTGTGCGTCGCCAGCCCAGCCCGGCCTGTTCCTGCTCCACGCACGAGACCTACGGTGTGCGTCGCCAGCCCAGCCCGGCCTGTTCCTGCCACCCGCACCAAGCCTACGGTGTGCGTCGCCAGCCCGACCCGGCCTGTTCCTGCCACTCGCACCAAACCTACGGTGCGCGTCGCCAGCCCGGTCCGGCCTGTTCCTGCCACCCGCACCAAGTCTACGGTGCGCGTCGCCAGCCCGACCCGGCCTGTTCCTGCCACTCGCACCAAACCTACGGTGCGCGTCGCCAGCCCGGTCCGGCCTGTTCCTGTTCCACGCACAGAACCTACGGTGTGCGTCGCCAGCCCGAACCGGCCTGTTCCTGCCACTCGCACCAAGCCAAGGGTGCGAGTCGTCAGCCTGGTTCAGCTCGTCCCTGCTACTCGCACCAAGCCAAGGGTGCGAGCCGTCAGCCTGATCCAGCCCACTCCTGCTACTCGCACCAAGCCAGGGATGCGAGTCGTCAGCCTGGGGAGGCCCGTTCCGGCTCCACGCATCAAGCCTAGGGTGCGTTTCGTCGGCCCTGTCCGGCCCGTTCCTGCTCCCCGCACCAAGTCTGTGGTGCGTTTCGTCAGCCCTGTCCGGCCCGGTCCCGCTCTCCGCACCAGGTCAAGGGTGCGCTTCGTCAGCCCGGTCCGGCCCATTCCTGCTCCCCGCGCCAAGGCAGTGGTGCGCGTCGTCAGCCTGGTAAGGCCCGTTCGTCCTCCACGCACCAAGCCAGGGGCGCGTGTCGTCAGTCCGGCTCCGGCCAGCGGGGCTAGACAGGACCAGGGGTACTTTGGGGGGTTGGAGAGGAGGTGGGGATCAAGGCCGGAGCCAGAGCCACCGCCGAGGAGGTATGCCCGCCCAGCCCTCCCTTGTTTAGCCCGTATTGAGGCGCGGTCGCAGTCCGCGCCTTTAGGGGGGGGTACTGTCACGCTCTGGCTCCGGGACTGTGTGGTTTGAGCCAGGGTGTATTCATTTGGTTGTGTTGGGTATAGGGTGTGTTCATTTGGTTGTGTTTTGGTTTTGGTTGTAGTGTCTTGTCTGTTCATGTGACTCCCAATCGGAGGTAACGAGTGTCAGCTGTCGGCTCGTTATCTCTGATTGGGAGCCATATTTAAACTGCCTGTGTTCACCTTGTGTTTGTGGGTTTTTGTTCCTTGTCAGTCTTTGTTACTGTGGACTTTACGATTCGTCTATTTTGTTTTGGTACTTTAATTAAATAAAGTCTATCATGTTCGCTCAACGCGCTGCGCTTTGGTCTCCCTCATTTGACGATCGTGACAGAAACAAACATATTTTCCAAATATAAATTTACTGTGATTTAATGTTCAATTCCCAACCATCCCAACTATCAGCAGCATCAACATAGCAAAACATAGGTACAAGTGTTTGTGCGTGGAAATGTGTGCACGCGTTCATGCATGGGCGTGTGTGTTCTGGTTCATTGGGAATGTAGCCACGTACAAGAGCCCTTGGTAGGCAGAGAGACACTGGGTGTGATCTCTGTTCCACTGGAAGCCTTTCTGTGGGTAGTCACGGATCCTCTCTAAAACTCCTGGAATACCAAACCAAAGTTTACACCTCACACATGAATCATGCCCCAGAATTTCATCAAAATGCTTTCATGAGTGAAAAAGAAAAAAAAATTGAAAAAAATCATTTTCCCTATATTATTCGGACATTTCGATTTTTAAATATAAAGTTGTTAACTGACCTAAGAAAAGGATTTTACTAGGATTAAATGTCACGAATTGTGAAAGACGATTTTAAATGTAGGGCTAATGTATGTAAACTTCCGACTTAAAACTGATTCTTCCGACTTGCAAAAAGTATTCATCCCTTGGAAATTTTTTCCTATTTTTTTTGCATTCCCACCTGTAATTTAATTGTTTTTATTTGGATTTCTGTAGGGACATACACGCTTGAATCCCCTAAATAAACATCTGGTGAAACCCAATTACCTTCAGAAGTCCATAATATTAAATTAAGTGCCACCTGTGTCAATCTAAGTGTCACATGACTGTCACCGATCTAGTTAATACACCTGTTCTGAAAGGCCCCAGAGTTGCAACCCCTAAGCGGGCACCCCCAAGAAAGTGGCACCATAAAGACCAAGGACTCTCCAAACAGGTCAAGCAAGTTGTGGAAAGTCAGATCAGGGTTGGGTTATAAAAAATATCAGAAACTTTAAAACATCCCGTGGACCACCATTAAATCCATTATTTAAAAATTGAAAAATATGGCACCACAACAAACCTGCCAAGAGAGGGCCGCCCAACAAAACTCACGGACCAGGCAAGGAGGGCATTAATCAAAGAGGCAACAAAGAGACCAAACATAACCCTGAAGGAGCAGCAAAGCTCCACAGCGGAGACTGGAGTATCTGTCCATAGGACCACTTTAAGCCGTACACTCCACAGAGCTGGGCTTTACGGAACAGTGACCAGAAAAAACCAGCTTTTTGTCCATCAAGAAAAACGCTATGTCTGGCGTAAACCCAACACCAAAAATCCCAGTGGCTAGATGTGCCAAGCTTATAGAGACATACCTCAAGAGACTTGCAGCTGTAATTGCTGCAAAAGGTGGCTCTACAAAGTATTGACTTTGGAGGGGTGAATAGTTATGCACGCTCAAGTTTTCTGTTTTTTTGTCTTATTTCTTGTTTGTTTCACAAGAAAAAATATTTTGCATCTTCAAAGTGGTAGACGTGTTGTGTAAATCAAATTATACAAACCCCCAAAAAATAAATTTTAATTCCAGGTTGTAAGGCAACAAAATAGGAAAAATGCCAAGGGGGTGAATACTTTTGCAAGGCACTGTTTTGGTGTTGGCTTTGAATGTATATTCTATATGTGTTTATTGGTATGGGAAATAAAGGTAATTGTTTTACATTCATTTAGTTTTACTTATGTAATAATGCAGAGTTCTGTGGTATATTTTCATACATCTCAAGTCACAGTTTCAATGAAACAAACATATTTTTCAAATATAAATTTACTGTGATTTAATGTTCAATTCCCAACCATCTCAACTATCAGCAGCATCAACATAGCAAAACATAGGTACAAGTGTTTGTGCGTGGAAATGTGTGCATGCGTTCATGCATGGGCGTGTGTGTTCTGGTTCACTTGGGAATGTAGCCAGCGTACAAGAGCCATTGGTAGGCAGAGAGAACACTGGGTGTGATCTCCTGTTCCACCTGGAAGCCTTTCTGTGGGTAGTCACGGATCCTCTCTAAAACTCCTGGAATACACAAACACAAAGTTTACACCTCACACATAGCATCATACTCATGTCTGTTATTCCTACACAGTGTTAAGTGAAATGGTTGGCAATGGGACAATACTGACTTTCAGAATATTTCATTCTGAATGCATTGATACACTCCGGCACTAGAAAGATGATAGGTGGGCTTACCATAGACATATTTATCTTACATGGTCTAAAGACAACACACAAGTCTTGAGATTATGGTACCTAGCATGTATGTGATGAGGTCTGTGGCAGTACCCACAGTGGGGTGGGGGTAGGCAGAGATTCCCATCTGTGGGGAGGTGACGATGGCATGCGTGTGTTCCCCCTGGTCAGGCCACTGGCGCAGGAAAGTGGCAAAAACCCTGCGTTCCATAAAAGGCTGCTGGACCAGGATCACCCTGCTGGCTGGGGTAGACATATGACAAACACAATCACTAATGGGTAGTTGACAAAAATACACATACAGTGCCTTGCAAAAGTATTCATCCCCATTGGTGTTTTTCCAATTTTGTTGCATTACAACCTGTAATTTAAATGGATTTTTATTTGGATTTCATGTAATGGACATACACAAAAAAATCCAAATTGGTGAAGTGGAATGAAAAAAATAACTTGTTTAAAAAATTCAAAAAAAATAATAACGGAAAAGTGGTGCGTGCATATGTATTCACACCCTTTGCTATGAAGCCCCTAAATAAGATCTGGTGCAACCAATTACCTTCATAAGTCACATAATTAGTTAAATAAAGTCCACCTGTGTGCAATCTAAGTGTCACATGATCTGTCACATGATCTCAGTATATATACACCTGTTCTGAAAGGCCCCAGAGTCTGCAACACCACTAAGCAAGGGGCACCACCAAGCAAGAAACTTTGAACATCCCACGGAGCACCATTAAATCCATTATTAAAAAAAATAAGAATATGGCACCACAACAAACCTGCCAAGAGAGGGCCGCCCACCAAAACTCATGGAACAGGCAAGGAGGGCATTAATCAGCGAGGCAACAAAGACACCAAAGATAACCCTGAAGGAGCTGCAAAGCTCCACAGCGGAGTTGGAGTATCTGTCCATAGGACCACTTTAAGCCGTACACTCCACAGAGCTGGGCTTTACGGAAGAGTGGCTAGAAAAAAGCCATTGCTTAAAGAAAAAAAACATATGGAAGAAGGTACTCAAATGTAGCTTTTTGGCCATCAAGGAAAACGCTATGTCTAGCGCAAACCCAACACCTCTCATCACCCCGAGAACACCATCCCCACAGTGAAGCATGGTGGTGGCAGCATCTGTGGGGATGTTTTTCATCGGCAGGGACTGGGAAACTGGTCAGAATTGAAGGAATGATGGATGGCGCTAAATACAGGGACATTCTTGAGGGAAACCTGTTTCAGTCTTCCAGAGATTTGAGACTGGGACAGAGGTTCACCTTCCAGCAGGACAATGACCCTAAGCATACTGCTAAAGCAACACTCGAGAGGTTTAAGGGAAACATTTAAATGTCTTGGAATGGCCTAGTCAAAGGCCAGACCTCAATCCAATTGAGAATCTGTGGTATGACTTAAAGATTGCTGTACACCAGCAGAACCCATCCAACTTGAAGGAGCTAGAGCAGTTTTGGCTTGAAGAATGGGCAAAAATCCCAGTGGCTAGATGTGCCAAGCTTATAGAGACATACCCCAAGAGACTTGCAGCTGTAATTGCTGCAAAAGGTGACTCTACAAAGTATTGACTTCGGGTGGGTGAATAGTTATGCACGCTCAAGTTTTCTGTTTGTTTGTCTTATTTCTTGTTTGTTTCACAATCAATCAATCAATTTTATTTTATATAGCCCTTCTTACATCAGCTAATATCTCGAAGTGCTGTACAGAAACCCAGCCTAAAACCCCAAACAGCTAGTAATGCAGGTGTAGAAGCACGGTGGCTAGGAAAAACTCCCTAGAAAGGCAAAACCTAGGAAGAAACCTAGAGAGGAACCAGGCTATGAGGGGTGGCCAGTCCTCTTCTGGCTGTGCCGGGTGGAGATTATAACAGAACCATGCCAAGATGTTCAAAAATGTTCATAAGTGACAAGCATGGTCAAATAATAATCAGGAATAAATCTCAGTTGGCTTTTCATAGCCGATCATTAAGAGTTGAAAACAGCAGGTCTGGGACAGGTAGGGGTTCCATAACCGCAGGCAGAACAGTTGAAACTGGAATAGCAGCAAGGCCAGGCGGACTGGGGACAGCAAGGAGTCACCACGGCCGGTAGTCCCGACGTATGGTCCTAGGGCTCAGGTCTCTCAGTTGGCTTTTCATAGCCGATCATTAAGAGTTGAAAACAGCAGGTCTGGGACAGGTAGGGGTTTCGTAGCCGCAGGCAGAACAGTTGAAACTGGAATAGCAGCAAGGCCAGGCGGACTGGGGACAGCAAGGTGTCATCATGCCCGGTAGTCCTGACGTATGGTCCTAGGGCTCAGGTTCTCAGAGAGAAAGAGAGAACGAGAGAATTAGAGAGAGCATACTTAAATTCACACAGGACACTGGATAAGACAGGAGAAGTACTCCAGGTATAACCAACTAACCCCAGCCCCCCGACACATAAACTACTGCAGCATAAATACTGGAGGCTGAGACAGGAGCGGTCCGGAGACAATAAAAATAAATTTTAATTCCAGGTTGTAAGGCAACAAAATAGGAAAAATGCCAAGGGGGGTGATTACTTTCGCATGCCACTGGCTTGACCAAAATGTGGTCCAGTGATTCAGTTGTGCTCTCCTGCCCCATAGCTGTCGAATAATACCACAACAATAACAGACGCCTTTCATGTGAAAGGTTCCCCGTAGTAGGCATGTGTGTCTGTAATGAGGAGAGTCTCACCTGGGATGTTATTCTCCTTGAGGAGCCTGTAGGAGAAGCGGATGTTCTCTCCAGTGTTGGTGGCCTCTGTCTCCAGCAGTATGTTCCCCCTGGGCACTCCCATCCTCAGAGCCACATCCAAGAACACGTCAGCCTCTGGCCTCGTCCACACACCTGGAACACACGACACACACACTAGAGACATTGGATAGAAACATAGAAACACGGTATGCTTGTGTTTGTGCGTGTGTGTTTCCTTGCATGGGCAGAAAGAGGGACAGAGAAAGAGAGAAATAGCGAGAAAGATGCCCAGTGTCTTGCTGACCTGCAGTCTGGTTACCTAGGTAACCAGTGAAAAGCAGCCAAGGAGCCAATCCTTCCAGGAAGAGATCAGCTGACCTCTCCGCCACACGCACATCATGGCAACCCAGGCCTATTATGACATCACTCTGAGAGAACATACATAATTATGACATAGTTTCAACAGAAGAGACAGCATTGATTATTACAAAAACCTGAGAGAAAATCTATGAGTATGACATGATATGATAATCATCCTGAGAGGATAGATCATTATGATGTTATTTTGGGTAAAGCCAGACGAGCTAATCATGACTTCCCAAAAGAGTGTAGCATTACACTACTTAAAATTCAGATTGAAGCCCATTTAAAATGTATCCTGTCAAAATGTATCTTATGTGTATGTACAGTCAGATATGAAGGCTTGCCTTTTCCAGAGATTGGTGCAGACAAAGGTAGTCCCACAGAACTCTGGCCCACTTCTCACTCTCATTGTCCATTCCTCTCACATGCTGGCCTGTGGGAGAGAACACACACACTTCAAAAGCAGAACCAAATAAAATAACCAACACAACAATTATGCTACTGAATGAATCAATAACAATACTTAAACGATACTTATTCACAGGTCAACAATGTCATCATTAAATACACGTGTGGAGAGAGGAGGCACTCCACTTCACCTCAGGCGAGCACAAACAGAGCTGTAGTGGAGGTCCGCTCCGTTGACACAGCAGCAGTAGACAATAACAGAGCCCTGAGGGAAGGTGACGTGGGCCATCCGTTAAAGACTGCAGTAGCAGTGGCCAGGCTCAACATGCTGCACTACACCAGTGTTCAACTCGTTTATACCCATAAGATCATTTAGAAGCAGTTACCGTTGACTTTCTATTTCTCGTTTGTCCCAAGGGTAAAAGCTTGGCACACCCCAGCGTCTCTCTCTCCCAAAGGTCTCTCTTTTCTCCACCTTCTTTCAATGTTTGATTAATGAATTAAGCAATGTTCATCCTTTACCCAGGATGCACTGCCAGTGTTCTGGCATATTCCACACTCTGGCATCATTGTGAATGGCTATTCTAAATTCTATCCAGTTACTGTCTCAGTGTAACTCTCATTGGCTAATGTACATTTCACTCTTATTTATCCGACTGGCTGATTAGGCCTCCTGTCTCTTATTCGATTGGTTGGTGAGTCTCCTGTACATTTTGTGTTCCTGTAGCTGCTGTCAGCCCCCTCCCTTACTGTATAATTGGCCTTGTCCATTTTTATTTGACTCTGATTGGCTGGTCTCTGAGTGTAGGCTGATGATATTGTTTCTATGTGAAGTAAAAAGAAGCAGACACCTGATCTGAAAGGTCCCAGTGAAAGAAAAAACGTATTCAATTGGCCTCTACAACTGTACTGTTAACACCAAGCTTTTTCCTGCTAACCTGCTTGCACACACACTCTGGTTTAGATTGGGTGTTTTGTTTTTGTTCAGACTGGACCCAACCCCTTCCACAATACATTAACTACATTTAATTCCTCTTTCATTCATTCTCCTTTACATACGTTACAAATATGAGACAAGTGGGTAGGTATTCCCAGACATTAGCTCCACCTAGTTTCTCAGCCTGGTCTCATAGACTAGAAGTAACATAGCAAATGTAAATCCAGGACACTCAAATTAGTATGATATGTTATGTTTGGTTACATAAGACAGATGGCTAGTTAATGCAAAAAACTAAAGTAGGGTGGTTCGTCGGGCGTATAATGCAAAAGTCAGGTTATGAGTTCGAATCTCATCTCAGACAACTTTAGCATTTTACCAACTTTTCAACTAATTACTATTTTTTTTATACTTTGCAACTACTTAGCATGTTAGCTAACCCTTCCCCTAACCTTAACCCTTTAACCTAACTCCTAAACTTAACCCTAACCTTAACCCCAGCCTCTCTAACATTAGCCACCTAGCTAGAATTCGTAACATGCCATACCTTTTGCAAATTTGTAACAGATGGTACATTTTGCAAATTCGTAACATATAATATCAATTGTAATTCATAACATATAATACGAAATATAATATGAAATGGGTCATGGACATCCATAAATTAATACATACCATATGAAACGTAACATACTGTATCATACTTAATGTAGTGTCTCGGAATTAAGCACATAATACTACGAAATGCTTTAAGACCAGATTGAGTTTCTGTCATATTGCTATCACCTGCCCAGTCCTATCCGATCAGTGGAGGGGAGTAAATGAGGACAGAGGGAAGGAAACAGTTTTGTGGAATGAAACGCAGCCATGGTGTACCAGCCCTGACTGCTCATCGAACTGCCTGAGCTGACCCTGCTCACTCCCCACTGAAAGTCCAGTCAGCAGCAAACAACCACCACTGTGTGTGACACATGGTGTGATCTCGGGCACAGAGGTCAAAGGTCAGCCTAAACACACTGTTGTTTTTTGACCAAGAAATACATAGAAAAATCCTTTAGCGAGGGTGACGTGTCACTGAGAATTCCAGAGATTCCTGCTCTGAACATTTTGTTAAAATAGAAGTTGATAGCTGTGACCAAATGACCTTACTCTTAACCCTTACCTTAACCGTTTTAAATGTAATCTTCAATGGGGACACGTCAGAGTTGGACGTCCCAAGGATTCCACTTAAGACTTGTCCAATGTTTAAGGTGTACCAGTACCTGCATTTTTCATACGAGTGTTTCTCGAGACATCCTAAAGGTTAAATGTGTAATGTTGATATTATAAGGGAAAACACTGAACAAGTAAATATGACATCACAATAACTACCTGATGTCATCAGCACTGACCCCTGTACAGTTGTGATAATTAATGATAAGTATGAGTATAGTGCATTGTGTAAATAAAACAATGCAGAATCAAGTTTAATTAAACACATTTATTAAATCATAAATAAATACCATAGTTATATAAATATTTATTTAGTCCTATAATTTGAACAAACTACATTTGGTAGGTGCTAAACAGTGAGGAAAAGGAAAAGGCATGGAAGTCTTTCACTCCTTTTCCCCGGCTGACCTACCACCTGGTGGGCTTGTCCTCCCCACTGCCCTGTCCCTGGGTCTGCAGGTAGACATCATACAGCTCCCTGAGGTGGATGATCAGCTCCTCTGTGTTCTGGCCTGTGAGGGCTGACACAGGGATCACCCTCTGGGCCACGTGGCCCCTGAGGGCCTCTATGTTCCCCCGTGCCCCAGGCAGGTCCATTTTGTTGGCCACAATAGCGTGGGGCCGGTGGGAGAGTCCGGGTTCGTACTGGTCCAGCTCGAAACGCAGGTGCTGGAGCTGGGTCCAGGGTTCTGGGGAGGACAGGTCCAGGACGAAGAGCAGGAAGCGACAGCGCTCAATGTGGCGCAGGAAGGAGATCCCCAGGCCTCGGTTCAGATGTGCCCCACGGATGATACCAGGGATGTCAGCCACTAGACACAGGGAACGGGAGGGATGGTAAACTGCATGATCAACCCAACATAATATACAACAGTAAGATAAACTCCATTACCTGCCACTTGCTCATGGTCCCTGTACTTAACAATGCCCACGTGGGGGTTGAGGGTGGTGAAGGGGTAGGCAGCCACAGCAGGCCTGGCATTGGAGATGGCCCTTAGAAGAGAAGACTTCCCTGCATTAGGAAACCCAACCTGAAGTGGAAGAACACACACTAACATGTAAATCTAAGAAAATGTTACACATTTTTGCGGGATCAAGTGTATCCCATGTATATGTCTACAATATTATTGTGACCAGCCCACATTATAGGATAGGCCTGGTCAGTGGAGAGAGAGGTCCACTCCTGTGTCTCACCAGTCCGGCGTGGGCCATGGTACGCAGCTCCAGCTGGAGGACCCTCTCCTGGCCTCTCTCTCCCGGGGTGGCCGTCATGGGGGCACGGTTCTCATTGGACAGGAAGAAGCGGTTCCCCTTTCCCCCCGCCCCTCCAAACACAGCCACGTACTCCTGGCCGTGCTGGGAGAGGTCTGCCACCGTCTTCCCATGCTCCTTCACCACCGTGCCCACTGGCACCTGCACGGTCCCAAAACACCACACACAACATTCAGTTTGGCCTTCACTTTATTTTAAAGTCAGCATTTTGGTATCTGGTATTTACTTAGTAATTACATCGCTAAATTAAAGTAATTACAAATCTATGTACATACAAGAGCCCCTAATTCAAAGCAACACCCCGGGCCGTAGCCATGGGCACTAACTCACAGCGATGTAGGTTGTGCTGGCGTTGCGTCCGTAGCAGTTCTTACTGCCTCCTGAGTCGCCATCGTCTCCTTTGTAAACGGGGGTGACCTGCGCCAGGGACTTCACTTGCCGTTCGACTGGAAGCACGCAAATAACAGATAGACGGGAATAGGACTTGATGTATGCATACGAAACCTTTCTCCAATGTCCTGGTTAAAATATCCCTACCAATTCAAAATGTTCTTCAGCCTGATCAAATCAAATCACATTTTATTTGACACATGCACCGAATACAACAGGTGTAGACCTTACAGTGAAATGCTTACTTACAAGCCCTTAACCAACAATGCAATTTTAAGAAAGAATAACCCCCCCCAAAAAAAAAAAAAAAAAAAAACATTTAATACAAAAATAATAACAAATATTTAAAGAGCAGCAGTAAAATAACAATAGCAGGGCTATATACAGGGGGTACCGGTACCGAGTCAATGTGTGGGAGCACCGGTTAGTCGAGGTAATTGAGGTAATAGGTACATGTAGGTAGAGAGAGTAGCAGCAGCGTAAAAGAGAGGGGGGGGCAATGCAAATAGTCTGGGTAGCCATTTAATTAGATGTTCAAGAGTCGTATGGCTTAGGGGTAGAAGCTGTTAAGAAGCCTCTAGAACCTAAACTTGGCGCTCCGGTACTGCTTACCGTGCGGTAGCAGAGAGAACAGTCTATGACTAGGGTGGCTGGAGTCCTTGACAATTTTTAGAGCCTTCCTCTGACACAGCCTGGTATAGAGGTCCTGGATGGCAGGAAGCTTGGCCCCAGTGTGGTACTGGGCCGTACGCACTACCCTCTGTAGTGCCTTGCGGTCGTAGGCCCAGCAGTTGCCATAACAGGCGGGGATGCAACCAGTCAGGATGCTCTCAATGGTGCAGCTGTAGAACCTTTAGAGGATCTGAGGACCCATGACAAATATTTGTTCAGTCTCCTTAAGGGGAATAGGTTTTGTTGTGCCCTCTTCACAACTGTCTTGGTGTGCTTGGACCATGTTAGTTTGTTGGTGATGTGGACACCAAGGAGCTTGAAGCTCTCAACCTGCTCCACTACAGCCCGTCGATGAGAATGGGGGCGTGCTCAGTCCTCTTCTTTTTCCTGTAGTCCACAATCATCTCCTTTGTCTTGATCATGTTGAGGGAGAGGTTGTTGTCCTGGCACCACACGGCCACGTCTCTGACCTCCTCCCTATAGGCTGTCTCGTCGTTGTCGGTGATCAGGCATACCACTGTTGTGTCGTCGGCAAACTTAATGATTGTGTTGGAGTCGTGCCTGGCCATGCAATCATGAGTGAACAGGGAGTACAGGAGGGAACTGAGCACGCACCCCTGAGGGGCCCCCGTGTTGAGGATCAGCGTGGCGGATGTGTTGTTACCTACCCTTATCTCCCGGGGGCGGCCCGTTAGGAAGTCCAGGATCCAGTTGCAGAGGGAGGTGTTTAGTCCCAGGGTCCTTAGCTTAGTGATGAGCTTTGAGGGCACTATGGGGTTGAACGCTGAGCTGTAGTCAATGAATATGTTGTTGTTTCAAATTCTAGGCCAATTGTGGATTTTGGCATGATCACAACGTTTATCTGAATAGGTAAATGAAAGCTTCTCAGAAGACCAATACTTTTTAACCAGATTATCAACAATGTATAACCAGGTCTGTTTGGGAATAGTGCAACATCGTTGAGAGAGTGACAGTGTTTCTCACCCACCTTTGATGATTATGTTCCCCCCGTCTCCTCCATTCCCTCCGTCCGGTCCACCCCACTCTTTCCGGGGCTCACTATGGAAGGTGCAGGCCCCTTTCCCACCTGCTCCAGCCAGTAGCTTCACATTGCGGTGGTCCACAAAGTGGCGAGTCTAAGCAACAGAGCGAGAGCCAGAAAGTGAAGCAGAACTAACATTCACCCTCTTGAAAACTTAACTTAGCTAATATGATTGTCACATCTTATTGTCTAATCAATATTTGCTTATCCTTATTTGAGTCAGTGTTCATTTTGTCAACAAAAATAGTGACTAAAATATTAATCACACACATATTTTTCAGTGGCAATTGACAAGACTATAACTGACTAAATAGACCCAGAAAATAATATATTTCAGTTGACTAAAACGAGACAAGATGAAATTATCTGTGACTAAAATCTGACTACTAAATGGACTAGACAATCGTTTTTGGAGAGAATGAGAGCTTTTGAGTGATAAGCACAATTAATATTAGCAGCACAGAAGCACAGCGCAGTTCTGTTCGGCAGTGTGAAGAACCCGCCACACACAGCTTAGCCTACATCAGCTGGTGAGCTGCGGGGGAGCAGGCGATGAGTGTGGGTGGGCAGACAGGCTCTGCTCCGCCTCCGATTATACACATCGTGCAGGCAACTCTCCTGCTTCCCCGTACCTAACCAGTCACCACCAGCCTTCTAGTTAGATACCCTTTGCATAGTTAAGAAACGTACGCTGCTTTATGAAATTAAACACAATAGCAGCATTACGTTTAATAGTAAAACAACAGTCTAGCTATGTTTTTTTCTCCCAGCCAGGTTCTGTAGCCAACGTACTAGCCAAGTCTCCCTCTTTTCCTCAGAGAAAACGGCTAGATTCTAGCCATTACCGTTCAAGGGATATGACCCATAATACCAGCACTCTCTTTTTTTTCTTTCTATGGTGCATTGGCGCGCCGCATTTTACATAAAGCATATCACGGGCCCTTCTAAAACTAGGCTATTTGCCGTCCGGACCGTTAACCATTTGTTTAGGCTACACCTTGTTCAATCTTGTTACCTCATTAGCTAGCTGTTGCTAAAAACCTGGGGCACGTTCAGCAGGATGCAACGTTATGGAACGTTCAGATAGAAATATGCTATGTAGAACAAACATGCCCCTCTGACGTGTTGAATAAGGAATAACGTTGGCTCTATTCATGGGATTTCTATCTGCAACCTGGACTCGAGCACGGGGACTTCAGCCATGGGGACTCGACCATTGGTGACTCAGACTTTGACTCGAGCACAGGGGACTTGACACTTGATTCGGACTTGAGGTTTAGTGAGTTGACTACATCACTGGGTGAAACAGTCATTAGCTCCCGTTGATTGATGATTGTGCTACTCTCTCTGTGTTTGTGTGTGTCTATTTTGCATGTAATGTGCAATATCAGGCTGAATTAGTAATTTACATGACCAGATAATTCTTATATATGTTTGTCATATTTCTGCTGTTGGGAAGAGAATGGGATGTTATGCAGAATATGTTGGTAGGACAAGGGTATGTATATTTGTGCACATGAAGTCAGTGATTTATGTTTACTATAGGTTAATGCGGCAATACAAATGTGATGACTAAAATGTGACTAAAATGAAAGGGCATTTAGTTTACTAAAATGGCCCATTGTTTGTCATTGACATTAACTAGACTAAATCAATATTCAAACTACAAATGCGACTAAGACTTAATGATATTTTAGTCAAAATGACTAAGACTAGACTAAATCAACAAAAAAATTAGTGCAAAAACTAAAACTGGTTGAATGCATGATGGAACAAGTAAGCCTTGTCCAGAATTCCCCAAAGTGCACAAAGACTAGAGGATAGGCATTGTAAGTTAAGTAGCTACAGTGCATTCGGAAAGTATTCAGACCCATTGACTTTTCTACATTTGGTTAGGTTACAGCATTATTCTAAAATTGATTAAATTGTTTTTCCCTCATCAATCTACACACAATACCCCAACATGACAAAGCAAAAACAGGTTTAGAAATTTTTGCAAATGTATTACAAATAAAACACTGAAAAGTATTCCCACAGCATGATGCTGCCACCACCATGCTTCACCATAGGGATGGTGCCAGGTTTCCTCCAGACGTGACGCTTGGCATTCAGGCCAAAGAGTTCAATCTTAGTTTCATCTGACAAGAGAATCTGTAAAGTCCATGGAGAATAAGAGCACCTCCTCCCAGCTGCCCACTGCACTGAGGCTAGGAAACACTGTCACTACCGATAAATCTACAATAATCAAGAATTTCAACAAGCATTTTGCTACAGCTGGCCATGCTTTCCACCTGGCTACCACTACCCCAGCCACCAGCTCTGCACCCTCCGCTGCAACTTGCCCATGCCCCCCCCCCGTTTCTCCTTCACACAAACAGACAGCTGATGTTCTGAAAGAGCTGCAAAATATGGACCCCTACAAATCATCTGGGCTAGACAATCTGGACCCTTCCTTTCTAAAATTAGCCGCCGAAATTGTTGCAACCCCTATTACTAGCCTGTTCAACCTCTCTTTCGTAACGTCTAAGATCCCCAGAGATTGGAAAGCTGCCACGGTCATCCCCCTCTTCAAAGGGTGTGACACTCTAGATCCAAACTGTTACAGACCTATATCAATCCTGCCCTGCCTTTCGAAAGTTTTTGAAAGCCAAGTTAACAAACAGATCACCGACCATTTCGAATCACACCGTACCTTCTCCGCTATGCAATCCGGTTTCCGAGCTGGTCATGGGTGCACCTCAGCCACCCTCAAGGTCCTAAACGATATTATAACCGCGATCGATAATAGACAGTACTGTGCAGCTCTCTTCATCGACCTGGCCAAGGCTTTCGACTCTGTCAACTACCGCATTCTTATTGGCAGACTAAATAGCCTTGGTTTCTCAAATGACTGCCTTGCCTGGTTGACCAACTATTTCTCAGATAGAGTTCAATGTGTCAAATCGGAGGGCCTGTTGTCTGGACCTATGGCAGTCTCTATGGGGGTGCCACAGGGTTCAATTCTTGGGCCGACTCTTTTCTCTGTGTATATCAATGTTGTCACTCTTGCTGTGGTGATTCTCAGATCCACCTCTACGCAGACGACACCATTTTGTATACATCTGGCCGTTCATTGGACACTGTGTTAACAAACCTCCAAACGAGCTTCAATGCCATACAACACTCCTTCCGTAGCCTCCACCTTCTCTTAAACACAAGTAAAACTAAATGCATGCTCTTCAATCGAATGCTGCTGGCACCCGCCCACCCGACTAGAATCACTATTCTCGACGGGTCTGACCTAGAGTATGTGGACAACTACAAATACCTAGGTGTCTGGTTAGACTGTAAACTCTCCTTCCAGACTCACATTAAGCATCTCCAATCCAAAGTTAAATCTAAATCGGCTTCTTATTTCGCAACAAAGCCTCCTTCACTCATGCTGCCAAACATGCCCTCGTAAAACTGACTATCCTACCGATCCTTTGGTGATGTCATTTACAAAATAGCCTCCAACACTCTACTCAGCAAATTGGATGTAGTCTATCACAGTGCCATTCGTTTTGTCACCAAAGCCCCATATACTACCCACCACTGTGACCTGTACGCTCTTGTTGGCTGGTCCTCACTACATATTCGTTGCCAAACCCACTGGCTCCAAGCCATCTATAAATCACTGCTAGGCAAATCCCCACCTTATCTTAGCTCATTGGTCACCATAGCAACACCCACCCGTAGTATGCGCTCCAGCAGGTATATCTCACTGGTCATCCCCAAAGCCAACACCTCCTTTGGCCGCCATTCCTTCCAGTTCTCTGCTGCCAATGACTGGAACAAACTGCAAAAATCTCTGAAGCTGGAGACTTATCTCCCTCACTAAACTTTAAGCATCAGTTGTCAGAGCACCTTACCGATCACTGCACCTGTACACAGCCCATCTGAAATTAGCCCACCCAACTACCTCATCCCCATATTGTTATTTATTTTGCTCATTTGCACCCCAGTATCTCTATTTGCACATCATCTCTTGCACATCTATCTTCCAGTGTTAATACTAATTATTTTACACTACGGCCTATTTATTGCCTTACCTCCATAACTTGCTACATTTGCACACACTGTATATATATATTTTCTGTCGCATTTTTGACTTTATGTTTTGTTTTACCCCATATGTAACTCTGTGTTGTTGTTTTTATCGCACTGCTTTGCTTTATCTTGGCCAGGTCGCAGTTGTAAATGAGAACTTGTTCTCAACTGGCTTACCTGGTTAAATAAAGGTTAAATAAAAAAATAAAATAAAAAAATCGTCTGAGAGTCCTTTAAGTGCCTTTTGGCAAACTCCAAGTGGGCTGTCGTGCCTTTTACTGAGGAGTGGCTTCTGTCTGGCCACTCTACCATAAAGGCCTGATTGGTGGAGTGCTGCAGAGATGACTGTCAGTCTGGAAGGTTCTCCCATCTCCACAGAAGAACTCTGGAGCTCTGTCAGAGTGACCATCGGGTTCTTGGTCACCTCCCTGACCAAGGCCCTTCTTCCCCGAGTGCTCATTTTGGCCGAGTGGCCAGCTCTAGGAAGAGTCTTGGTGATTCCAAACTTCTTCCATTTCAGAATGATGGAGGCCACTGTGTTCTTGGGGACCTTCAATGCTGCAGAAATGTTTTGGTACCCTTCCCCAGATCTGTGCCTCGGCACAATCCTTTCTCGGAGCTCTACGGACAATTCCTTCGACCTCATGGCTTGGTTTTTGCTCCGACATGCACTGTCAACTGTTGGACCTTATATAATCATGTCCAATCAATTGGATTTACCACAGGTGGACTCAAATCAAGTTGTAGAAGCATCTCAAGGATTATCAATGGAAACAGGATGCACCTGAGCTCAATTTCTCGTCTCATAGCAAAGGGTCTGAATACTTATGTAAAGTATCTGTTTTTTATTTGTTATACATTTACAAAATGTCTAAAAACCTGTTTTATTTCATCCATTTTAGAATAAGGCTATAACGTAATAAAATGTGGAAAAAGTCAAAGGGTCTGAATACTTAACGAATGCACATTGCTTGGCAATATAAACAACCATGTTCTGCCGAGGACAGGGGATAGCTAATCTAGCTAGTTAGCTTCATCACACTAATACATACCAATTTTTTTTCTGACAGTTCTTTCTTTTGGGAATTTCCTCTAGGTTTGGCGCACAGTGCAGAGGACGTGGTGACATTCCTGATTCCAGTTGTTTTCCTCTGTGCTGCCAAGTGGCTTCTGAGCCCTATCAACCAGCTGCAATTCACCTCGTTCCTAAAGCAAACGTGTGCAAATATTCGGCTTATCTCTTGGACAAACCATCCTCGGCTCTGAACCTTTGTCAATATAGTTAACATTGCAAAATAATCAATGTCATGTCAAAGGGAGACAGTCAGAAGTGTCGCCCTGACCTCGTTAACTAGCTAACAGTAACGTTAGCAGGATGTGTTAGTTAGCTAGCTAGCTAGCTCTGTGACTGTGGCAATGAGCTAACGTTAGCTAGCCAAGTCACTTTCAACAAGCCTACTAATTTAATCGGCAATAAAAAAAACTATGTCCATCTATCTATCTCTAGATATTTCACAAAACCTCGCAATCTACAACGCTACCAAAAATTAAGCTTTTAGATCAAGCTAACTGTTTGGAACGACAACTTCACTTCAGCAGCATGTTGTGAGCGCTAGCTACGGTAGCTACCGAAGGTCAAAAAGCACATGAAGTCAAAGCATGGGTCGTGTAATGGAACTTTGCTTCATACAAGACAGATACAAAACAAGGTGAAAGTCAATTTATTTTACATATTAAACAGTAACAAAAAACGAATATGAAGAAGCAATTAAACATTCATATTTGGTTATGCACAAACAAACCATTTATTCTGTCACACACACGCGCAAGGTATTGCATTATAAGCAAAACACTACAGTAAATATCCAATTCACAGGAAATGAATGCAATGATATATTATTCAGTCTAAAGAAGCCTATGATTGTCACTGTAGAGTTGACATACAGTCATTGAGCTGTTTGACAGCCAGGTACCTCAGGTATCCTGCTGTTTATTCCCACTGCCTTGGCAACATACAAGTGTAATGAGTTGTGCTGTCCCCTTTTCAGCATTTTATAGTTAAGTTCCAGTCTGACATTACTAGGATTATTACAGGGGATATACATATACCTATATGGTGGCCTATACCACAAACCAAACCATGATTTTCATTAAATGATCAAATCTTTTGATGTAAATAAAAACAACCACATATTGTACATTGTCATAGAAATTATAAGGCAAGTGTGTTTGTGGGACAAACCGATTTGACACTTGTCTTCTATAACACTCCTAAGGACTTACCAACCAACACTTGATCTATGATCACTTCGAATAAAGTAAATTGAGTAAGACAAATGGTAAACTTTTTTTGTTTCTGTAAACATACACCAAACATGTATGCCATATGCACTCACACACATAGGCTACGACTACATCACATTGGTTAGAACGTAATACTTAACAAAATATCCCTAAAAATGGGTTAAGACAGTTGAAGCAAACCCCAAACACAATTGGCAAAAATAATACTTTGGATTATGTAATCAACTAGACACAAGGCTAAGACTTTTCATTTTTGTACCCTAATAGGCTATAGACTCAATAGTGTGTGGTAGCACACAGAAAGTCATTAATGTCCATTATCAAGCCTACTGATAATCTTATCCTCTGCTCCAGTGACTGACTGTATTGCACGTATTGAAAAAGTGTTGTGCCGATTGCTAAAAACATTCTAAAATCCTCTCCCTGTGTGTTACTTTACTTTAGCTGTTTGGAAATCATTTCTTAGAAACAACTACTATACGTAAAAGTGCATTACAGAGAATGAGACAGAAAAATAAAAACTTAAACATATGATAATTAAATAAAACAAATTGTATTTTGATAAATAAATATACTGAACAAAAATATAAACGCCACATGTAAAGTGTTGGCCCCATGTTTCATGAGCTGAAATTAAAGATCCCATAAATGTTCCATACGCACAAAAAGCTTATTTCTGTCAAATGTTGTGCACAAATTTGTTACATCCCTGTTAGTGAGCATTTCTCCTTTGCCAAGATAATCCATCCACCTAGCAGGTGTGGCATATCAAGAAGCTGATTAAACAGCATGATTATTACACAGGTGCACCTTGTGCTGGGGACAATAAAATGCCACTCTAAAATGTGCCATTTTGTCACATAACACAATGCCACAGATGTCTCAAGTTTTGAGGGAGCGTGCAATTGGCATGCTGACTGCAGGAATGTCCACCAGAACTATTTGCAGAGAATTTAATGTTCATTTCTCTACCATAAACTGCCTCCAACATCATTTTAGAGAATTTGGCAGTACGTCCAACAGGTCTCTCAACGGAAGACCACATATAACTATGCCAGCCCAGGACCTCCACATCTGGCTTCTTCGCCTGCGGGATCGTCCGATACCAACAACATGGACAGCTGATGAAACTGTGGGTTTGCACAACCAAATAATTTCTGCACAAACTGTCAGAAACTGTCTCAGGGACAGTTCGGCGTCATAACCGACTTCGGTGGGCAAATGCTCACCTTTCAATGGCCATTGGCATGCTGTAGAAGTGTGCTCTTCACGGATGAATCCCGGTTTCAACTGTACCGGGCTAATGGCAGACAGTGTGTATGGCGTCGTGTGGGCAAGGTGTTTGCTGATGGCAGCGTTGTGAACAGAGTGCCCCATGGTGGCGGTGGGGTTATGGTATGGGCAGGCATAAGCTATGAACAATGAACACAATTGATCCACGCCCCTACCTTTTTAAAAAAGGTGTCTGTGACCAACAGATGCATATCTCTATTCCCAGTCATGTGAAATCCGTAGATTAGGGCCTAATGAATTCATTTAAATTGACTGATTTCCTTATATGAACTGTAACTCAGTAAAATCTTTTAAATTGTTGAATGTTGCATTTATATTTTTGTTCTGTGTAAATATAGCATGGAAAAAGTCCCAACATATAAAACGTTACAAATAATTTTGATTAATAAAAAAAAAGGCTTAGTTAAAAGATATCAAACAAAATTAAAGAATTAACAAAAGGGATTGATCAAGGAAATGGATTGTATATATTAGTTGTAATATTATGATGGTTGTTGATAGTTGCACACTCTTGTCAATCTACCAGCTATTGTGTCTATAACCTTACTCAAACATTGGTTCTTCATACACAGACAGAGTGGTAACACTGAACAGTCGGTAACACCACACACCGACCTACACAACTTCACAGTTTCAAACACAACCTGAACACTTCAGGTTGAACTATACTGACAAGTCCCATTTTCACCTTAATCAAGTTATTCTTTACACTGAATAAAAGATGCTGAACGTATTATATTAGCTCAATCTTAAGTAAATGTTACCAAACGTTATTTTCGTGACCTGGGCACATTATAAATTACAATCTTAAAGACAGAGGACAGCACTTGTATTGTGCACCCTGTGAAAGACAAAGACAGAAAAGGAGGATGAGAGAGTGATAGAGAGGAGAGAGACCAAGAAAGGAAGACATTTAGAGGCAAGGTTAGAATTAAACATATGAGTCTTTTCAACACTTATGAGGGTGCCCCCGTTAATTTAATAATGCTTTTGGGGGTGCCCCGATTTGTTACCAGATACCCCCATAATTCAAATCCTCTTCGAGGGTGAGGAGAAGGAGAAAAAGCAGAGATGAGAGGTGCTTCATACAGGATCTCCTGAACCAGTTCACCTCTACTCAGTTAGAAAATAATGAACCAGCAGAACATGGATCTGACTTAGTCTAGCCTGCTAATCTGTGTCTCAGCAAACTGAAAGGATTCAGAGATAAATCTAACTCATTTACTCAGAGACTGGTTTACACACGACTGTTGGGGGGTATTCACAGAACTGTTCCCTTGCCTAACTTGTCCACCACTTTTCCCAGGAGGTGGTGCCTTACTGCTGGTAGTTTCCGTATTGACCCTAAGAGAAAGGGAGGTAGAAGATAAACATCTTTAGTCATTTCAGGTCAACATGAGATGGGGAATACTTTTGTTCATGAATACTTTCTCATGATTCAAAGCAACCCATGGGCATCGCCACTGTGGTAATTTGCGGTGTGAGTTGCCCAATTTACCCAATGTTTTGTTGGACAGCATGGTCCTCCTCAAAACGTGGGGTTGGGGTTAGCTGTAGCTGTACCTGTTGGTAGGCGTAGGGCCTCTGTGTCTGTGCCCCAGAGGCAGCCTGGGAGGAGCGGTAGGAGCTGTACTGCTGGCCCTGATCCTGCTGGTACTGGGGGTACTGGGACGATGCACCTTGACCTGGACCTGGAGACCAAATCAGTCAATCAACAAAGTCTTGAATCACACTGACGGATGTCACAGTGAAACAATCATCATCTTTCAAAAGAAATGTACTGATTTAATGTTCAATTCCCAACCATCCCGACTATCAGCATTTAATGAGCAACATCAATATGTCCATAGCAAAACATAGGCATGTGTGTGTCTGTCTGTGTGTCTGTCAACGTACAGTGCCTTGCAAAAGTATTCATCCCCTTGGCGTTTTTCCTATTTTTTTGCATTACAACCTGTAATTTAAATGGATTTTTATTTGCATTTCATGTAATGGACATACACAAAATAGTGGAATGAAAAAATAACTTGTTTCAAAAAATTACAAAAAATAAATAACGGATAAGTGGTACGTGCATATGTATTCACACCCTTTGCTATGAAGCCCCTAAATAAGATCTGGTGCAACCAATTACCTTCAGAGGTCACATAATTAGTTAAATAAAGTCCACCTGTGTGCAATCTAAGTGCCACATGATCTGTCACATGACCTCAGTATATACAGTGGGGAAAAAAAGTATTTAGTCAGCCACCAATTGTGCAAGTTCTCCCACTTAAAAAGACGAGAGAGGCCTGTAATGTTCATCATAGTTACACGTCAACTATGACAGACAAACTGAGAAAAGAAAATCCAGAAAATCACATTGTAGGATTTTTAATGAATTTATTTGCAAATTATGGTGGAAAATAAGTATTTGGTCACCTACAAACAAGCAAGATTTCTGGCTCTCACAGACCTGTAACTTCTTCTTTCAGAGGCTCCTCTGTCCTCCACTCGTTACCTGTATTAATGGCACCTGTTTGAACTTGTTATCAGTATAAAAGACACCTGTCCACAACCTCAAACAGTCACACTCCAAACTCCACTATGGCCAAGACCAAAGAGCTGTCAAAGGACACCAGAAACAAAATTGTAGACCTGCACCAGGCTGGGAAGACTGAATCTGCAATAGGTAAGCAGCTTGGTTTGAAGAAATCAACTGTGGGAGCAATTATTAGGAAATGGAAGACATACAAGACCACTGATAATCTCCCTCGATCTGGGGCTCCACGCAAGATCTCACCCCGTGGGGTCAAAATGATCACAAGAACGGTGAGCAAAAATCCCAGAACCACACGGGGGAACCTAGTGAATGACCTGCAGAGAGCTGGGACCAAAGTAACAAAGCCTACCATCAGTAACACACTACGCCGCCAGGGACTCAAATCCTGCAGTGCCAGACGTGTCCCCCTGCTTAAGCCAGTACATGTCCAGGCCCGTCTGAAGTTTGCTAGAGTGCATTTGGATGATCCAGAAGAGGATTGGGAGAATGTCATATGGTCAGATGAAACCAAAATATAACTTTTTGGTAAAAACTCAACTCGTCGTGTTTGGAGGACAAAGAATGCTGAGTTGCATCCAAAGAACACCATACCTACTCTGAAGCATGGGGGTGGAAACATCATGCTTTGGGGCTGTTTTTCTGCAAAGGGACCAGGACGACTGATCCGTGTAAAGGAAAGAATGAATGGGGCCATGTATCATGAGATTTTGAGTGAAAACCTCCTTCCATCAGCAAGGGCATTGAAGATGAAACGTGGCTGGGTCTTTCAGCATGACAATGATCCCAAACACACCGCCCAGGCAATGAAGGAGTGGCTTCGTAAGAAGCATTTCAAGGTCCTGGAGTGGCTTAGCCAGTCTCCAGATCTCAACCCCATAGAAAATCTTTGGAGGGAGCTGAAAGTTTGTGTTGCCCAGCGACAGTCCCAAAACATCACTGCTCTAGAGGAGATCTGCATGGAGGAATGGGCCAAAATACCAGCAACAGTGTGTGAAAACCTTGTGAAGACTTACAGAAAACGTTTGACCTGTGTCATTGCCAACAAAGGGTATACAACAAAGTATTGAGAAACGTTTGTTATTGACCAAATACTTATTTTCCACCATAGTTTGCAAATAAATTCATAAAAAATCCTACAATGTGATTTTCTGGATTTTTTTTCTCTCATTTTTTCTGTCATAGTTGACGTGTACCTATGATGAAAATTACAGGCCTCTCTCATCTTTTTAAGTGGGAGAACTTGCACAATTGGTGGCTGACTAAATACTATTTTCCCCCACTGTATACACCTGTTCTGAAAGGCCCCAGAGTCTACAACACCACTAAGCAAGGGGCACCACCAAGCAAGCGGCACCATGAAGACCAAGGAGCTCTCCAAACAGGTCAGGGACAAAGTTGTGGAGAAGTACAGATCAGGGTTTGGTTATAAAAAAAATATCAGAAACTTTGAACATCCCACGGAGCACCATTAAATCCATTATTTAAAAATGGATAGAATATGGCACCACAACAAACCTGCCAAGAGAGGGCCGCCCACCAAAACTCATGGACCAGGCAAGGAGGGCATTAATCAGAGGCAACAAAGAGACCAAACATAACCCTGAAGGAGCTGCAAAGCTTCACATTGGAGATTGGAGTATCTGTCCATAGGACCACTTTAAGCCGTACACTCCACAGAACTGGGCTTTACGGAGGAATGGCCAGAAAAAAGCCATTGCTTTTAATAAGCAAGCACGTTTGGTGTTCGCCAAAAGGCATGTGGGAGACTCCCCAAACATATGGAAGAAGGTACTCTGGTCAGATGAGACTAAAATTGAGCTTTTTGACCATCAAGAAAAATGCAATGTCTGGTGCAAACCCAACACCTCTCATCACCCTGAGAACACCATCCCCACAGTGAAGCATGGTGGTGGCAGCATCATGCTGTGGGGATATTTCTCATCGGCAGGGACTGGGAAACTGGTCAGAATTGAAGGAATGATGGATGGCGCTAAATAGAGGGAAATTCTTGAGGGAAACCTGTTTCAGTCTTCCAGAGATTTGAGACTGGGACGGAGGTTCACCTTCCAGCAGGACAATGACCCTAAGCATACTGCTAAAGCAACACTCGAGTGGTTTAAGGGGAAACATTTAAATGTCTTGGAATGGCCTAGTCAAAGCCCAGACCTCAATCCAATTGAGAATCTGTGGTATGACTTAAAGATTGCTGTACACCAGCGGAACCCATCCAACTTGAAGGAGCTGGAGCAGTGTTGCCTTGAAGAATGGGCAAAAATCCCAGTGGCTAGATGTGCCAAGCTTATAAAGACATACCCCAAGAGACTTGCAGCTGTAATTGCTGCAAAAGGTGGCTCTACAAAGTATTGACTTTGGGGCGGTGAATAGTTATGCACGCTCAAGTTCTGTTTTCTTGTCTTATTTCTTGTTTGTTTCACAATCAAAAATATTTTGCATCTTCAAAGTGGTAGGCATGTTGTGTAAATCAAAATGATACAAACTCCCTAAAATTCCATTTTAATTCCAGGTTGTAAGGCACCAAAATAGGAAAAATACCAAGGGGGGTGAATCATTTCGTAAGCCACTGTATGTCTGTGCGTTCATGCAAGCATGTGTGTGTGTGTGCGCCTATGTGTGTGTTCCTTACCGTAGCCCTGTGGCTGTCCACTGTAGCCCTGCTGTGAGGGGTACTGTTGTTGGCTGAAGGGCTGCTGCTGGCCTGACCCCTGCTGGTACTGAGGCTGCTGCTGACTGTACTGGGAGTTGCCTGGGGGTCGGGAGTAGTAATTTAACCACATCAAGGCTTAACTTCATACTGTAATCTCTCGTGGACAGATGCATGTAACATAAATAGTAATCGAGCATCTGACGCAATTACGCAAGATTTTAGTTCTGGGTGTCCGAGATTAGGCCTACTGTGGCACATAGCTAGCAGCTACAATACTATCACAAGTTACACAACCTTTATGCTTATTAGGCATGAGTCTGTGTGTTTTGGGAACATACCTCCTTCGTAGTAGTGTTGTGAGGACTCGTCAAAGGACCTCTCATAGCCCTGTTCACCGTAGGACGACTGTTGGTAGGAGTACTCGCCATGACCTGGAGGGGGCAGGAATGAGCACATGACAAAACCAATCTACCAAAAACAATGTGGCTCCTCACACAGTTACAGTAGAGAGCTTGGTCCTCTCACAGTTTGTAAAAAGCTTACATACATAGGTGTGCACCCATAAGATGGCAAGAGCACAAACAGACATTTGCAGACACAAAGCACACAAAAACACCCTAGAATCAGTTGGAGCTCTGCCCTGAACGATTTTCAAAAATGGGAAATCTCACATTTCGGCACACCAAAGGGGAACACTATTGACAGAGACACACCGGGAGGAAACAGTTCTAAGACCAACCTCAGCACTTTGCCATAACAATCATAATCCATCCACAAAAATCCACCGTACAAAAGACTCCAATTGAACTCCCACATAAAGGGAAAGGAAAGACAAGAAGCCAGAGGATTGGAATATGGAGTTCAGCACTGCAGTATAACTTGAAGACAGGGCAGTGGGATAACACTGAGACGGTATGGCATGTATGGGTGTGTGTGTGTTTTGGAGGGGTTGTGTGTGTGAGGGTCAAGGCTCTAAATGATTACCATCAGGGTAATACTGCTGGTTTATGGGCTCGCTGGAGCTCTGAGTGTGTCCGTACTGCTCTCCGTAGAAATCGTCTTGTCCCATGTACTGCGGTGCAGATCCTGCAAGACAGTCGACACCAGGATTGGTTAATCAGCTGGTCGGACCAATGGGCCTCTGTGTTGGTGACTAAAGTGGGCTGGGCCAGGGCGCTTTGGCAGTTGGAGGGGAGTGTGTGTGTGTGTGTGTGTGTGTGTGTGTGTGTGTGTGTGTGTGTGTGTGTGTGTGTGTGTGTGTGTGTATATGTGTGTGTGTGTGTGTGTGTGTGTGTGTGTGTGTGTAAGATAGAGAGAGAGAGAGAGAGAGAGAGAGAAGTGGTGTCTCATGGGTGCTAATTACGTAATGAGAAGCTTTTTTGTAGTTGAATGACTCAAGTTCAAGAGGTCCTATTAGTAGAGTAGATTGAAGTCTCTTGTGGAAACCTACGTAATCGGTATTTCAGTTACTTTGTTCTATTCTACTATTCTACTACTACTACTATTCCCTACTGTATCTGAAATGGGAATTGGTAATGTTTGTCATGGGAAGAAAATTCATCATTTTGGCTTCCATTTGAGTCCAATCAATCTAATTTCAGAATGTTCAGCCCTATCCAAACCATGATCTGAAAAAATATAGAATCCTATGAGAATTAAATGAAATATGACTTTCTGAAAGGACCAATGACAAAGTGGTTTTAGAAATCCCAGTGGGCCAATCATATGGGAGACGCTGTGGTGGTGGTGTGCAGAAACTCCAGATGCCATTCCTTCACAAACAATTGAATCAGAAACCAAATATATGTATTTCCGTTGCCAGAAGTATTGCTAGAAATATCGCTGTATCTGCAAGACAGCAACTCACAGTCTCGCTAAATATAAATATTCTACAACATATTGATCTTATAACGTAATGCAAAAAGGACCATTATCACAGCAGTCAACGGCTAGTGAACAAATAACCTTCCATGGCAAAAAAAATAAACGATTCAATTTCCCATTGAGAAATATCCATTGTCAGTGATGAACTATACACTGGAACAATAGACTCCTTGTAGACAATATCTAGTGATTGTACCTGGACAAGCTGGGATAAGACCAAGCCACAACATACAACCCAGGGCAAGTGACCTCTGTTGCCCTGGAGACATTTTCTCAGACATCCTACAGACGAGCTACTGATTAGTCTCTGTGAGGTACGTGCCTAGCCCACGTCCCACACCAAACACAAGGGGACGTTGAGGGACTAGTTTTAGGCACATGCTGACACAGCATGGGTAAAGTGATTTACAGTGACTGGGACTCCATGTGACAACAGCCATAAATCTTCAGTCTGCCTCTTAAAGTCACAGGCAGGCCATTACTATGGGTCAGATCATCTGGGCTACACACCTGCGATACCATGGTAACGTATGCGTATCCGTGACAGATTATATCCACCATAAATATCATAGTCTGATTTTTAGGCTCACACCTCCTAAACACCTGCTAACCATTAACATCTCCACGTTTCAGCCAACATCCATGTCGTCTGCATCCGCTGTGGCTATATCTTCAGGAGTTCCTCTAGTAATCAGCTCCACCTAAAACCTAGTCACCTTCTTCACCCAGAACCATATAGCCATTTTCTCCACATTTAGACCACAGCGAGCCCCATGCATCCCTGCAGACTTAGCATTCATCTGCAGCCCATAACCAAACCGCAGCAGCCTGGAGAAAGACAGAGAAAGCCACGGTCACCTACCTTGCTGTGTGGGTCGGTAGGTCCCCATGGGCCTCTGGCTCATCATGCTGTTGCCTTGTCCACTCTGCCCCAACATGCCCATAGCAGCCTGCTGGCCCTGGTACTGCTGCTGTCCGCCCCCAGTCTGGGATGACGGGTAATGAGGTGTGGCCGACTGCTGGTGCATCATGGAGACTAAAAGGGGGTGTGGGGGAAGGGGCGTTATGGGGAGGGATCTTATACATTAACACACACACAATGTCAACATCTTCATCATTGTCATCAATAGGCAGAATCAAAAGAGAAAAATTAAGCCAAAAGGGAGGGGCCATGACAGTCAGAGAGTAGCCAGGAAGGGAGGGGGTCTGTTTCAAAACTCAAAGAATCTGGGAGAGAGAGAGGCTTTAAAATGCTCTGGAGTAAATGGAAAAGAAGCCAGAGAGGGGTCAGTGCATAAAACAGAGATAAATACACATGGACAACCAGGGAGACGTGGGTGGGCTGCAGGGCTGCATGTCAGGGTTAGATGTCAGGAGAGGAGAGCCTGAAGCAGGGAGGTGACTGGGGCTAGACTAGCGACGATACTAGACTCCAGAGGGAGGATGGGGCTGCCTACCAGTCTGATGAACTGAATGTGTTTGGTTCTTCTTGTCGTTCATACAGGAAAATGCAGACATTCACAGGTTTTGGAGTGTGAAGTTCAAGTGTATAAAGACTAGAGAAGTTTTTCTAACAGAGAGGGCAGAGGGGAGGTTATTGAGAATGATGTTGAAAAGCTGTGGAGGTGGAATACCTTCAGGGGTTCCTTGGATCAGTGAATCATCCACCGGTGTCCTGCCTCCTGTCTAAATCAATACAATCCTCATTTTCTAGAATCCTCGGAGAGCAGAACTCCCTCCCTATCTCTCCCTCCCTCTCTTGGCCCTACTGATACAGGGAAAATGACAGTACACCCTCAATCCCAACCTCCACACTACACTCTCAGATACACATGTATCACTCTAAGAAAGGGTTCGCAAACTGGCGGTTTTATTTGGCCCCCCCAAGTTTTCTGAGCAAAAATAATGAATTATACACTCAACAAAAATATAAATGCAACAATTTCAAAGATTTTAACTGAGTTACAGTTCATATAAGGAAATCGGTCAATTGAAATAAATTAATTAGGCCCTAATCTATGGATTTCATGACTGGGAATACAGATATGCATCTGTTGATCACAGATACCTAGTAGGGGCATGGATCAGGAAACCAGTCAGTATCTGGTGTGACCACCATTTGCCTCATGCAGCGCGACACATCTCCTTCGCATAGAGTTGATCAGGCTGTTGATTGTGGCCTGTGGAATATTGTCCCACTCCTCTTCAATGGCTGTGCGAAGTTGCTTGATATTGGCGGTAACTGGAACACGCTGTCATACACGTTGATCCAGAGCATCCCAAACATGCTCAATGGGTGACATGTCTGGTGAGTATGCAGACCATGGAAGAACTGGGAAATGTTCAGCTTCCAGGAATTGTGTACAGATCCTTGGGGCCGTGCATGCTGAAACATGAGGTGATGGCGGCGGATGAATGGCACGACATTGGGCCCCAGGATCTCGTCACGGTATATCTGTGATAAAATGCAATTGTGTTCTTTGTCCGTAGCTTATGCCTGCCCATACCATAACCCAACCGCCACCATGGGGCACTCTATTCACAACATTGACATCAGTAAACTGTTCGCCCACACAACGCCATACACGCTGCCATCTGCCCAGTACAGTTGAAACCGGGATTCATCCGTGAAGAGCACACTTCTCCAGCATGCCAGTGGCCATCGAAGGTGAGGATTTGCCCACTGAAGTCGGTTACGACGCTGAACTGCAGTCAGGTCCCTGGTGTAGATGACGAGCACACAGAACTGCTTCCCTGAGACGGTTTCTGACAGTTTGTAAATAAATTATTTGGTTGTGCAAACTCGCAGTTTAATCAGCTGTCCGGGTGGCTTGTCTCAGACCATCCCGCAGGTGAAGAAGCATGATGTGGAGGTCCTGGGCTGGCGTGGTTACACGTGGTCTGCGGTTGTTAGGCCGGTTGGACGTACTGCCAAATTCTCTAAAACAACATTGGACGCAGCTTATGGTAGAGAAATTAACATTCAATTATCATGCAACAGCTCTGATGGACATTCCTGCAGTCAGCATGCCAATTGCACACTCTCTCAAAACTTGAGACATCTGTGGCATTGTATTGTGTGACAAAACGGCACATTTTAGAGTGGCCTTTTATTGTCCCCAGAACAAGGTGCACCTGTGTAATGATCATGATGTTTAATCAGCTTCTTGATATGCCACACCTGTCAAGTAGATGGATTATCTTGGCAAAGGAGAAATGCTCACTAAAAGGGATGTAAACAAATTTGTGCACAACATTTTAGAGAACTTCTGGGATATTTTATTTCAGCTCATGAAACATGGGACCAACACTTTACATGTTGCATTTATATTTTTGTTCAGTATCCAGTATATCGTTGTTTTTTTATTATTGTTTTTTGGGGGGACAAAAAAAGACTGTAAAAACACCAGGAAATCAGCTCCAAGTGATTTTAATTTTGGAAATTTGTTCCCAAGTATTCCCACGCATAATAGCGAGACACGTGATCATATACAAATATAAGTACGGTTTAAAATTATTATGTTTTAGTCAAAATATTATATCTGTTTGGCCTTCTTGCGGTCATGTTCCGGCCCCACGACCATCCGCTCAAGAAGAAAAATTGGCCCACGGCTGAATCAAGTTGATGATCCCTGCTCTATGATTTCATCCTCTATTGTTCAACCTCTTTGCTTCCCTTCCTCCCTGATCACCCCCCCTTCCCTTCCAGAGCTCTGACATTTACTCAAGTGGGGGCTGGCCTCTCACCCTCCCTGCTCACTTCCTGCCAATCACAATACGCTATGAGTGGACTCAACATTCGTTACCAATGCACTTAGCAACAAGACTCGCTGGAGAAAACAAAATAGAATAGCGGAATTAGCAATTAGGTATTCCCAAAGGAATAGTGTTTCCAATAACGATTTCATTTAATTGGCTTTGATGGTGTATTGCTATGCCGCTTATCCCTTGTCGCTGGTTCCTCTGCACCTGGCTGGCTCACCTGTGTTGGACTGCATGTTGAGGTTGCTGCGGGAGGAGGTAGAAGAGGAAGAGGAGGAACCGTAGCCTGGGCCAGGGCCCTGGATCATGCTGCCCTGGGAGGAGGGGGGCATGGGGTGGCTGTAGCCGGAGGCTGAGCCATGGGTGGTGGCTGGCAGGCTGAGGGACGTGGATGAGGTCCCAGCCGACTGTGTCTGACCCGCCTGCTGCTGCATGGGAGCGTGGCTGGGGCCTGACGACACACAGAGCAGTCAGAGCAGCCAGCCACTCAGGCACACGCAGCGCCAGCATGGTCACAGGCGCCACGGAAACGCAACACATTCAGTTCATCGCTACACCACAGGAGGCTTGTGTAGGACTAGAATGAAGTTTTGAATCAAGGGTGTGTATATTATGAGGAGAGACTACGAGAGAAGAATTAGTGGAGCGACAAATGGACAAAGACCTGTATGGATACAAAGAGGTGTATCTCAATAGTCTAACGTGGCTTTCTTTCCTCGTCTCCATTACTTAATGTGCAGTTAGCATCCACTTACAGTATCCTGTCTTAAGTGATCAGTGCAGAAGAGGAAGCCACTTTAAAATATTGAGATGCACCCATAGAATGATGTCTGGACAGAGCAGAGGACGAGATCAAATATGCTGCCATAGGAGAGGTAGACAGACAGACGACATACATACATGCAGCAGACAGTCAGTTGGGCAGAGAGGCAAGCAGTTAGATAGTACACACGTACAGGTACAGTGGATATTGTGTGTGTGTGTGTGTGTGTGTGCGTGCGTGCGTGCGTGCGTGCGTGCGTGTGGAGATGGAGGTCTCACCATTGCTCATCTGACTCTGCATCATAGAGGTAGGGGGCAGGCCAGGGGCCATGGTGTCGTTGAGGTTACTCTGGGAGTGTAGAGGCCCGCTGCCTCCGCTCTGCCCTATTCCTCCAGGACCCATACTCCCCATGTTAGGGGTAGGAGGCTGGGAGAACAGGAGGAGAGGAGAGACGTGAATTTACAGCTCTGGGAATTGTATTACAGGAAAGAACAGCTATTGAGGCCGGGTAAGGAAGAGAGAGAGAGAGTGAAGAAGACCAACATGGGGCTCTATTGTGTTGCGTAATTCCACACAGACTTACTGCAGGTAACAGTGACTGCATGTTCTGATTAGAATCTGCTATCGTGGCCAGATAGACTAGGTTTCTGTGAAGGATCTGCTGATACCTGTCAAAGCACAGAAAGACAGGTTAATCACTAATCACAAGTCGATCATCAAGACTTGGAGCCTTCAACATAATGACTTTCATTAAACTGTGATATACTATATTCATGCTTAAAACACATCTTCATACAAGTACACATCTGCTATAGTAACCTACATAACATGCATCTGTGACAACACTATGAGGACAGGTGTGACTCCTACTGTGTGCATTCTGCTGTTTTTCCTTTGCTTTGGTAATCCATTATGCATTGTATCAGATGGTGATTTTCATCCAACATCTTGGGGAGATAAAAAAAATAATCATGTTAGGCAAGCAGCTTATTATAACAGTGTTATGACACTATAATAAAGTGTCCTGAATTCTCGGGACTTGCGACCCCCCCCCCCCCCCCCCCCCCCCCTTCCTACATTCCAACTCTCTGAACAAAATTATCTGGGTCAGCTGTTTTTCTTGGAGTATATTTAACGTTGCCAGAAAGAGCCTAGGGCAGAAGAGACTGTTTAAGTCGGACAGAGCCATGGTTTTTCCTTTTTTCCTGCAACTCTAAAAGCCTCCATTATCTTCAACCAATCACAACATTCTGACATCAGTGACAAAAAGCGAGTGTGAACAAGAAAGGGGAACCTGTCCTCTATAGGATACTACGATCCAAAGAAGGCTCTCTAACCGTGTAAAAAACAAATATATATATATATATTATATGCCCTCAACAATTTGACAAGCACCAATAAGAGACTTCCCCGTTCCTTCGAGAATAAACAAAGGTCCAATGATGTTGCACGTAGGCTCAGACTGTCCGGTGATCCACACACCTTCCATCATCTCCGCCACTGTCAGACTATCCATTCATCGAGTGTACCTGCCTCTTATCACTGGCTGTCTAAATAATTCTCACTAGTCTACTCACATCTTTGGCTATTTTTGGTAACAATAGCCTATCATATGGAGTGTATTTTGTAAAGGATAAAATGTTGCTTCAAGAAGAAGAAAAAAATCACTCAAATAACAGTTAACAAAAAATCTCATGAAGTGCATGCACCAGAATAAGCAAACATTCAGTCAGACTCGGGACAAACTTGATTTTTTTTTATCGGATGCTATAGGCTATTATTAGACAACATGTGTTGTTCTAACGCATAACGTAGTAGCCGTTATGTAGGCTTCCATGAAAAGCCACACTGTGCAGTGTAAAGGACAACAGTAACATCGCAATAAAAAGTAGCCTTTGATGAATGTCAATCTGTTTTCATTAGCGTCCTATGATCACCTCGCTTTGTTTGGCTCGCTCTACTGTACCAGTTATGTGCTGATGTTGACTACTTTCCCACCATTGGCACCGACTGACTCTGTGCACGCTCTCAAATCGACCAGAATAAAATATTTCCTATTAGACAACGTAATGGAGAAAGACATACCTTTTGTATCGTTTGTTGTGTCACCTCCCCTTTGCTCCTTGGGCGCGCCGATGAAAATGCCACCGACATTGTGATATAAGGAAATGGTAAGAAACGCTCCTTTTATTATAATATTTAGCCTATTATCTTGCGTACAGTATGACATAGTTAGGTTTTCCATTTTCAGAAAATAGTAGGGGTGTGTGAACCCCTGGATTACTCCAAAATGAAAATAAATTATCAGTAAACCACTATTCCCCTGGATATAAATTGATACTCTTCATTTGGTTCTGTTGTAAAATCGAGAGTTGATCAGAATTCCATCATGTCTATGAAAAGATCGTCTTTGTCGAGACTCTCACTCAGTAATTTGTTGGTATAACCCATGCAGTCACCTATAGGCTACAGTAGAATTTCTCACAGTAGTAGGGGTGTTCTTTGATTCACGACAGCCAATGCGCTCGCTCTCCAACGTAAACCGATGATGGCCGCAATAAATCAAGGCTGTTGCACACAAAAGTCCGGATGAGGCGCTGTGTTCAACATCAATTTGCTGTTTCATTCAGTCTGATTACTTTCACTTTTGTTAAAGAGCGTCGGCAAGTCGAGGACACAAATAAATCAGCTTTTCTGTACAGGTGAAGTGCTTGGAAGATGAGCTACGATCGTGCCATCACAGTGTTCTCACCTGATGGCCACTTATTCCAGGTGGATTATGCACAGGAGGCGGTCAAAAAAGGTTCAACGGCTGTAAGTAAGCCTATCATTTATATCAATGTTGATTGAGGTCAAAACAATGGGTCAAGCACTGTGCCGATGCTAAATGTAACCTATCAGGACGGGCGCAACTATATCACTTGGGCCTAATTCATTTACAGGTTGGAGTACGAGGAAAAAACGTTGTTGTTCTAGGAGTGGAGAAGAAAACTGTGGCCAAGCTCCAAGATGACAGAACAGTGCGCAAAATCTGCGCCTTGGACGATAACGTCTTCATGGCCTTTGCAGGTAATTTAGGACATGACCAATAAGGCAATAAGACCAACATAGGACCAATAAGGCACAGTACACACCCAAGCCACAGATGGTATGAAGTGGTTGATTGCAAGTATGTAATTAGCTTACCATTTGAATGGTATAATTTATGTCATCAACATTTGTTGATGTAGGCCTACTTTGAATGATACATTACATTTTACTGCTGAAATCGAGCAATTTGATTGTTTGTTCACCTTGTTGGGTGAGGTGTTTAATTGGTGTAACATACTTTATCTCCTTATCCCATGGCCTGCAGGGTTGACAGCAGATGCCAGGATAGTTGTTAACAGGGCTAGGGTGGAGTGTCAGAGTCACAGGCTTACAGTGGAAGACCCTGTGACTGTGGAGTACATCACACGCTTCATCTCCAGCATCAAACAGGTACCACACACACACACACACACACTACAGTACAATACACGTGCAGATATATCATTTCTACATATTCCCACTTTCAGCGCTACACGCAAAGCAATGGGCGAAGGCCCTTTGGCATCTCCTCCCTTCTTGTGGGGTTTGATTTTGATGGAACACCCCATCTGTACCAAACTGACCCTTCAGGAACATATCATGCCTGGAAGGTAGGGGTGTAATTCTGACCCATACATCTGAATCATTAAAAGGTGCTTTGACATGTTTGTCATCACCCCAATGAATTACCTAATGTACCTCAAGTTGGAATGTGATCAAATATGAGCATAATATGAAAACCTAAATGTGGTTGTGTACATAGGCAAATGCCATTGGAAGATCTGCCAAGACTGTACGTGAGTTTCTAGAGAAGAACTATAAAGAGGAGGATATGGAGTCCGATACAGACACCATTAAACTGGCCGTCAGAGCGCTACTTGAGGTGAGGCTTATGCCGGTCTAGATCCAACCTTTTGATTGGCAGCAACGATATTGCATGAGCACCTGCTATTAATGGTTGAAATCTCAGATATTCTTGTCACAAGGTTTGCTCCATGTGTTCACAGGTTGTCCAGTCAGGGGGAAAGAACATTGAGCTGGCCATTATGAAGCGGGATGAATCAATGAAGGTTTGAAATCATGACACCTCCGCAAATCCGTCAGAGGATCTCACCTGTGTAATGATGCAACTTAAATGCTCCCCTAACAACCTCTTTTCTACTGTAAATAGATTCTGGTCCAAGAGGAAATTGAGGAATATGTCACGGCTATTGAAAAGGAAAAGGAGGAAGCAGAGAAACAAAAGAAGAAAACATGAATACTCTTTTTGATTGAAGTCATAACCAAACATGCCTTCATCCATCTTAAATATTGCATCAGGAATCTCATTGTTTACATTAATTATCTAATTGTTTCTCTATCCAATGCTGGAGGGACTCCTAAGGAGTGCATATTTTTGTTCTAGCCCAGCACTACCACACCTGATTCGACTAATCACCAGGCTCTTGTTTGGCTGAATCAGGTAGGATATGGTAGTGCTGGGATAGACTGTTCTGGGTGCCGAGACTAGCGTTGGGCTAAAACAAAACTACTCCCACCCTGGGAGTCCCAATGAAATGGATTGAGAAACACTGCTGCCCTAATCGACCATATGCAAACGTAAGACTTTACCTTATTCTTGCAATGAATAAATATCTGTATTTAAACTACAACTTTCAGTTACTATAATTTGACAGAGAAAATTAACAAGAACAAGTGAATCAGCAATTTTCCATGTTTATTACATTTGTAACAATTTAACATCACTTAATTTGCTAAGAATGATAGAAAACAAACCAATACATGGGAATTCATTAGTTCTGGCAGACATTTGGTCTGAAATTAAGTTATTTATAATGATATGAATAAGTAATATTTACAATACCTGGAACACAAAAATGACCTGAAGGTATTTTCCCCTCAACAGTTTCATCTTGAAAAGCACAGGCAAATTCAAATTCAAAACAACATTGTCAAAAGCCAAAATGTACCATGGGCTCAAAGAAAATATAAAGAAAAAGCAATGCAAAAGCACTTCTCATATACTTATTCAGTTATGGGGCAAACCCAAGAGTCAAATAAATTATCAATGTTTCTTCAATACAAACACCTCATGAAAAATAATGGAATGCAAAATGTAATATACAGAAACACGAGTGTGCAAAGCTGTCATCAAGGCAAACGGTGGCTACTTTGAAGAATCTCAAATATAAAATATGTTATTAACACTTTTTTGGTTACTACACGATTCCATATGTTACATATGTGTTATTTCATAGTTTTGATGTCTTCACTATTATTTTACAATGTAGAAAAGAGTCCCAAAAAAATAAATAATAATAATAACTTGAATGAGTAGGTGTGTCCAAACTTTTGACTGGTACTGTATCTCCCCTGACGTGGGTATGTTTTCAATACAGACTCCTTTAGTCGTACTGTATTCCATATAAGGCATCCTGACCTTATGAAAGTTGCCCAGTATACCCTTAATCTTGTAATAAATCAAATCTAGTGATACAAAACTTGACATTGTGGGAGGATAACCAACCTTCCAATGAATGGCAATGCATTTCTTAGCCGCTTTAAATGCTTGGTTACACAGTTCCTTCAGATAAGTCTCCAGTATCAACATTTCCAAGCAAACAAAAACAGGGAGAAGGGAGAATCTGTACACATGCTGAGATAAAATAACATACTCTTTGCCAGAATTCAGCCAGCCTTCACAAGACCATAACATATGCAAATAAAGTGATGTATCTGCAAAAATTAACCTCAGCTCCGTCACAGACTGGTCTTCCCTGGCTGCCTGACCCTGCTGAGACCACTGTCGCCACCATCTGATTCAGGCATGACAAAGAATTACCTTGGTGTACATTTATACATTACAGTGAGGGAAAAAAGTATTTGATCCCCTGCTGATTTTGTACGTTTGCCCACTGACAAAGACATGATCAGTCTATAATTGTAATGGTAGGTTTATTTGAACAGTGAGAGACAGAATAACAACAAAATAATCCAGAGAAATCCATGTCAAAAATGTTAAAAATTGATTTGCATTTTAATGAGGGAAATAAGTATTTGACCCCCTCTCAATCAGAAAGATTTCTGGCTCCCAGGTGTCTTTTACACAGGTAACGAGCTGAGATTAGGAGCACACTCTTAAAGGGAGTGCTCCTAATCTCAGTTTGTTACCTGTCTAAAGACACCTGTCCACAGAAGCAATCAATCAATCAGATTCCAAACTCTCCACCATGGCCAAGACCAAAGAGCTCTCCAAGGATGCCAGGGACAAGATTGTAGACCTACACAAGGCTCGAATGGGCTACAAGACCATCGCCAAGCAGCTTCGTCAGAAGGTGACAACAGTTGGTGCGATTATTCGCAAATGGAAGAAACACAAAATAACTGTCAATCTCCCTCGGCATGGGGCTCCATGCAAGATCTCACCTCGTGGAGTTGCAATGATCATGAGAACGGTGAGGAATCAGCCCAGAACTACACGGGAGGATCTTGTCAATAATCTCAAGGCAGCTGGGACCATAGTCACCAAGAAAACAATTGGTAACACACTACGCCGTGAAGGACTGAAATCCTGCAGCGCCCGCAAGGTCCCCCTGCTCAAGAAACCACATATACAGGGCCATCTGAAGTTTGCCAATGAACATCTGAATGATTCAGAGGAGAACTGGGTGAAAGTGTTGTGGTCAGATGAGACCAAAATGGAGCTCTTTGGCATCAACTTAACTCGCCGTGTTTGGAGGAGGAGGAATGCTGCCTATGACCCCAAGAACACCATCCCCACCGTCAAACATGGAGGTGGAAACATTATGCTTTGGGGGTGTTTTTCTGCTAAGGGGACAGGACAGCTTCACCGCATCAAAGGGACAATGGACAGGGCCATGTACCATCAAATCTTGGGTGAGAACCTCCTTCCCTCAGCCAGGGCATTGAAAATGGGTCGTGGATGGGTATTCCAGCATGACAATGACCCAAAACACACGTCAAAGGCAGCAAAGGAGTGGCTCAAGAAGAAGCACATTAAGGTCCTGGAGTGGCCTAGCCAGTCTCCAGACCTTAATCCCATAGAAAATCTGTGGAGGGAGCTGAAGGTTTGAGTTGCCAAACGTTAGCCTCGAAACCTTAATGACTTGGAGAAGATCTGCAAAGAGGAGTGGGACAAAATCCCTCCTGAGATGTGTGCAAACCTGGTGGCCAACTACAAGAAACGTCTGACCTCTGTGATTGCCAACAAGGGTTTTGCCACCAAGTACTAAGTCATGTTTGCAGAGGGATCAAATACTTATTTCCCTCATTAAAATGCAAATTAATTTATAAAATTTCTGACATGCGTTTTTCTGGATTGTTTTGTTATTATTCTGTCTCTCACTGTTCAAATAAACCTACCATTAAAATTATAGACTGATCATGTCTTTGTCAGTGGGCAAACGTACAAAATCAGTAGGGGATCAAATACTTTTTTCCCTCACTGTATATTATCCAGGAATAGAATCAATGGTTCAATAATTGAAATGACCATTATTCCCAGATCCCAGTCTGTAGCTTTAAGCTTAAGCGGCTGTCCTGTAGCTACTGTAGGTCTACCCATTAATTAAAGATGGAACTTTGTATCATTCACTGATATTGTTAATGTACTGCAAAATTCACCTGAGCTCCGTAGACTGGTCTTCCCTGGCTGTCTGACCCTGCTGGGACCCCTATCACCATCTGATCCTGCTAAGACATGATGAGCAGTGTTGTGTACTAAAGTGTTGCATTCCCGCGGGATGCCTGCAGGACCTGCGGGTCCCAACAGAGATCTGTCACTATTCCGTCGTGGATGTGGTGGAGGAGTCAAGAAGAGAAGAGACACATGGAACGAGGGGTTAATGATTTTTATACTCAATTGGCAGTTGTAACCTGTAACACACCTCGTTCAATCTTCTCAGGACTTTGAAGGGCCCCACAAACCGCCGACCCAGCTTCCGGCAGGGCAGGCGGAGGGGCAGGTTTCGAGTCGAGAGCCAGACTCGATCTCCCGGTGCGTACACCGGTCCCTCACTGCGGTGGCGATCGGCGCTCGCCTTTTGTTGACGGATGGCACGCTGCAGATGGACATGGGCAGCGTCCCACGTCTTTTCCGAGCGCCGAATCCACTCGTCCACCGCAGGGGCCTCGATCTGGCTCTCGTGCCACGGTGCCAGGACCGGCTGATAACCTAAAACACACTGGAAAGGTGTTAAGTTGGTGGAGGAGTGGCGGAGAGAGTTCTGGGCCATCTCTGCCCAGGGGATGAACCTCGACCACTCCTCCGGCCGGTCCCGGCAATAGGACCTCAAAAACCTACCCACATCCTGGTTGACACGTTCCACCTGCCCATTACTCTCTGGGTGGTACCCCCGAGGTAAGGCTTACCGAGACCCCCAACCGTTCCATGAACGCTCCCCAAACTCTGGAAGTGAACTGGGGACCTCGGTCAGACACAATATCCTCGGGGACCCCATAGTGCCGGAACACATGGGTAAAGAGGGCCTCAGCGGTTTGTAGGGCAGTAGGGAGACCCGGCATGGGAAGGAGACGACAGGCCTTGGAAAACCGATCCACAACGACCAATATGGTGGTATTCCCCTGGGAGGGGGGTAGGTCAGTTACGAAATCCACCGATAGGTGGGACCATGGTCGTTGTGGAACGGGCAGGGGATGTAGCTTACCCCTGGGCAAATGTCTAGGCGCCTTACACTGGGCACACACCGAGCAGGAGGAGACATAAACCCTCACATCCCTAGCTAACGTTGGAAACCTCACAGGAATACTCATGTGACCAACAGAGAGCTCTGGGTGAGTGGGGCGCCTACTCACCTGAAATGACTCCCCAGTGCGTGGCCTGTTGTCACCTCTCCCAGGAGACCCTCCCCAGCACCTGGCCGCAGTGTGTCCTCCACGACCGCAGGTGGTGCAGGGGATGGCCCCCCTCGGGTTCCCTCTCCTCCTCTCTCTAGCGCCGGCACCCCCTAGCTCCATAGGAATCGGCTCGGGGGTGCTGGAGGGTGGACTGGACGACCCCCACTCGGGACGTCCGCGGGTAGCCAGCAGGGTATCCAGACGGATGGAAATGTCCACCAACTGGTCAAACGACAGGTTGGTGTCCCTGCAGGCCAGCTCCCTACGAACGTCCTCTCGTAGACTACACCGGTACTGGTCGATGAGGGCCCTCTCATTCCACCCCGCATCCGCCGCTAGTGTCCGGAACTCCAGTGTGAACTCCTGTGCGCTCCTCTTCCC